AGAGCGTTAACTGTGTCCGCAGTGCCAGCGTCCTCGGAGTCTCACTGAGCTGCATCAATGTTCTCTGTCAAGTATGTGGTAGTCCCACTTTCGAGTGTGATCGTAACTAGGTATTTGTACCCAGAAAACTGTTCAAGGGAAGGGGACTGACAAGCCCTTCAGGATTCATAAAACGGGTCCCCCATTGCGTTGTAACCAAGGTCTCGCCTCATGGATGTATTAAACTCCCCCGTCATGACATTCCATCCTCCCCCAGAAACAAGAATTTCAAATAGCGACACCTGTCAGAAATCCAAAACTTGTCATAAGGACTTTTTTCTGAGTATCATCCTTATCCATCGTCGGAGCATAGACTGTAAGACCTGTGTCGTAATAAAGACACAGATGGAATCCTCGATTCCCAGTGCGGAAATTATGTTTTGATCGGATCACGCAAGACGATGGTGACATGCGGGCAAGAGGCGTCAGTGACATCAGTGAGGTAGGGGTAGCAGGATTTAATAGGGATTTCTCAGTGCCCGGCTCATTAATACCGCAATCTGACGAGTACATCCCCAAGAAACAAACAATGTCCTCATTGTATTGCGTCAATGCTTGCATGGTTAGTCGTTGCGCTGCCGGTGCAAAGAGTTTCCATGTTTCAGTATGTGATGAACGGTTTCTTCCTAAGAGTTCAGCGCGCCGGCTGCCGCGGACGTCGTAGCCGGAGTCGAGAATTGCGACTGCCGAAGTGATGGTAAATAGAAATTTGGTGCGAGTGGGATTTTCTAGTCCTCAGCATTGCCTTCAGATGGAGTTCCAGGCGGTGAAACAACGGGAACAGGAAGGAATCTTTATGACAGTTTTGTGCTTTGCGTGTACGAGTGCCGTCATCGGACTCTATGGGACAGTCAATTTCCAGGCCTCGCGCTTCTGGCACTGTCGCTGCTGGCCTGCGCCTGCGTATTCGCTAGGCCTTAGAACTTGCCTTGTTCACAACCTTTTGTCACCGAAGACCGTCCTACTATCGGTCACTGGTGGTTTCACCGAATAACCCACCAGTTAGGTCAGGAGGCGGACACGTCTTCCCCAGGCTTTTTTCATATCATGAATGTTGTGACCTTTTTTAAGGTCAGCCGAACATGTCACCCTTTTAAAGCTGGCTGAGTTTGGTTGTAGAAACGGTTGTCGCCCTTAATCAGCGCGCCTAAATCCACTAAAATCAAATATTTTCCTGCTCGCTTGGTTATCCCCTGCCCGTAAAAAGCATTTATCATTTTCACTCTATTTGTGCCAGCATACCCCTTCAACTAAGTAATTAATCCTGTGCCGTGTCTGATTGTACATTTTCACTATGTAGCCGCAGTTTCATCTAGATTTTAGACCTTAAAACCTTGGTAGCGGCTGCAGGCGCTGAAAACTTGTCTTATTTTTTCGAGTATTTGAGATTTAACTTCTTTTCAACAACAGCTTGATGGCCACTTTATCGACCCATGCATTCGCGAAATTCAATCGTAATAAGGAGGCCAAAGGCGTTTTTCTCCTAAGCTCATCAATTAACTTCGGTTTGATACGTTTAAAAGCTTTTACGTCCGCCACCCTTCTCTCCTCAAAAATGGGATCGTGTCTTTATCTGTTTTCAATAATGTTTCCAATTCTAGTGGTATGTCCAAGGTTCGTGCGCAACTGAGGGAACTGGATTATACGATGGTCTGGATTGGCTCTCCCGGGAATTATCAAAACGGTCTTAGACTCACTCACATGTCGCCCCTGTTTGACTACCGGAACCAAATTGTTTCGCATCCACACTGTCACAAACACAAACACTCAACTGTTGTTGGTTTTTTTCTACTGTTATGCCATTGACTCCATCAAACATCTCCCATTTCCCCGATCTTCCCTTCAACGCGCACTTGCTCGCATGCATACATCACCTCATTAACAGTGTTTCACATTCCAGTCCACCCTTGCCTGTTAAGAACTCTCTGCTCCCTATAGGGCTGTTGCCTCGCGGGTGGTGGGGCGGCGGCAACAGCCACACATGCACTCCAGAAACGGTGTGGCGCTCGCAGATGTTTGCATGTGTATTTGATTGGACACTCCAGTCGCTTTGTAAAATAGGCTGTTCAGTCTCCTCTCACTTTCTCCTATCTCTTCTCTACATATATTTGACCTCGTACCTGGTTGCTTTGGTGAAAATAAACTCTTGATTTCCCTTGATTTCCCGTTATTTTCATGGTACTGTAGAGGTGTATCGTCACAATAGTTGCCATCACTACCGTCATCGTCGTGGTTGCCAACCCAAGACTTGAACACCGCCAAGGTGATTCATGCCTCAACTCATGCTCAGGCCGGCTCTCACAGCGTAGATGCCGGGTCTCCGTCGAGCCATTAAAGGTGGCTTGCTCGAAACAAGTTTTATAGTTTTTTTGGAGCTGCCTATCGGCCTGCCGTCAAAAGGCTTAGAGTTGGTCACACTTTGGCTGTTGAAGCCATCCCATCTCCAGAAACTTGGGCAAAATACATAGATCTGTCATTAGGTTTGCATAGTGAATGAGGCATCCTACGTATAACGGTTTGAACGGAGTCTGGCAGTCGAATGTGGAGACTTCAGGCCGTCTTCTCGGAGCTAGTGAGGGAGGGAGAGGAGTGCGGGCAGATTTATCTGGGAGCAAGGCAACCTGTGGGGTTTCCGTGTGGTGTGGTTTACGTTGTCTCTCTTGACTAGGTCATCGGGCGTTTCATCTGCAAGCTGAATCATTGTGGCACAACTCATCTCCCAAGGCTCTGTTTCCGTTTCGCGAGTAGAATCATGGGCTGGCTGTCCTATTAGACGTCTTTGTCGAGTTTCTGCTGGATGCCAGCTCTCGGGCTAGCTTGTCATTCGGCGCGCACGGCCGAGACTAATGTTCACGAGGATGACCCCGTAAGAACGTTCCTCCGAACACGACACAAAAGCCTCAGGCAGCATCGGCAATCTGCGACTTCGTCGTACCCATGCATACTTTCTTCCGGGTCATCGCGCTTTCTTGCCATCTAATGCTACCTCAAATATTCCGGTTATGGTGCTCATCCACTTTGACTGCTTTTAAGTTCGATCTCTTCTATCCCAGAGCATCAGCTGAACGACATTTGGATTCTTGTAGAGTAGGCAGTGCTGCACCACCTCTGGTCAGTCCCGAATAATGCTTTGTCCTCTGTCTCAGATCAGTTTTTGCTGAGCGATAGATTCGCATGTGTTGGATTAGTCTGCGAAAATGCCTTTGATTGGTCCCACCGTTGTCCTCACTTCTGAGGACCGCATGTCCCTACTTCATGTGCCTAAGGGAAGTGTGGAACTACCCTCCTGTTGCGATAAGCAGTGTAGTTCGTCAGTAATCAGTGTTCGAAGCTAGCTGGGGGGGGAGGGGCAAAATCGTCAACAACCGGAGCCTACCATACAACGAACCCAGGTTAACTTATGCGAAGTCGGCAAGTGAGGTGCGTCTAGTGATATCACCCAATACGAGCATCGCAGTAGCCTGCGCATTTCACTCGTCGGGATGAGAGCTTTTTGCTACTCAAAAGGAGGATGGCTTAGCCCGTGGCCCTTGTTATTGCAGCAGAGTCACATTGTCGATGTCTACTTGGGGAGAATGCCCTCAGCTGTGATTTTCATGCTAGGTTGGAGCTATATGTGTGTCTGTCACGCGCGAAGACCCCTTGTGAATTCCAGGCCGAGAGGACTGGCCGTCTAGTTTATGCCTAATGGGCCACAAGACAACGAACTGTGGCCCGATCCATAGGAGCGAGTAAATGGATTATTACACATCGATGTGGCCTGCAACAGTAGTCGGTCTTTGCCCCCCAAACATAGAAAGGAAGAGTTTGTGAAGAATACACGTAAGTCCTCTGTTGGGAGAGCACCCACGATAGTTGTCTTTAGACGTCACTTTATGCGAACACCTAGCTGTCTGGCTAGGTAGAGGTGAAAATCGATATCGGGTCCTATTCTCACACGGTTAGTCGATGCAAATCACGGAGTCGACGCCAAACATGTCTTTCAAGTTGTCGACCGGGCACCAGCAAACTTTTTAAAGGGCCTATGCCGACCAGTGCTAGCAACAGCCGAGGCAGTAGCTGTTCGGCTAGCACGTTCAGTGCTTCATTGTTGAAAGACGTCAGTGCAATCGCTCCGTCTCCCGTGGCCAACGCCGACTCTAGGTGATGATCTCGCGCCACTCCAACCCCCCCCATTGACAGTCACGCGCGTCCCGCGTGATCATCCTACGGACGTCGCTCACACCCTACCTCCATCCCTCTCCGCCAGCCCCAATGACCCCAATACGGCGAACTCGCCATGCGGGCGGCGTGGGGACGAGGCGTCTGACTAACCTGATACGCTTTTTAGCCCTGTCTATGACTCATATTTTCATCCCCCATGTATCGGCCTGATGATGGATTACTGTAAACATGAGTTTTCCAAAATTACTTTTAAAGTAAATAACCCTACTATATTTAAAACAGTAGGATTTCGTAATTAATATAGCCACAAATTCGGTTACAGGCGTATTTGAGGGTTATGGGTGGCTCGACAGCCGACGCGGGCGTATTCGCGCGCGTCACACGCTCTGTTCACCTCTTGCTTGCAGCTTATGCAGCCAATCAGGGAATGGAGGAAGTCACACCCCACCAATAAGGTCGCCCGCTTCCAGCTTATCCCTGCCAGTGGATGTTAGTCTTCCAATCAGTCTCATTAGTTCGATTGCGTAAGCAAGCCTCTCCAACGTCCTCCTCCGCCTTGCTCGCCTTCTTACATATAATAGCATCTCACTCCGCGTAGTCTCTACGAGTCTTCCAAGCTAAACCTCACAGAGAGTAGCGAAACAATTGCTGCTGCCGTCGTTATAGCCCTTGTAGAACTCCATCCCCACTGAGTGCAAAGACAGACCGGCTGGTCGCTATGACGACCTGCTTCAAGGATTCGAGCGATAATTCAGTTAGTATAAGCTGATTATCCCAGCCATCAGCTTAACCTACAGATGTACACTGCTCTCGAACCCATTAATGATCAACCGAAATCATCACAGCATTCATCTGACCCTAAGAACCCAATTTATCTGCGAGAATTCGGGATGAAGAGCGGAATTGGAGTGTCTAATGAAAAGCAGTTACTCGTTGAACCGGTCAGCCAGTCCGACAATGTATATTCAGACACACCTACAACTGAAGTCATCCCAATGCACAATCACTCTTCTGGGACCAATCAGGTGACGTCTGCGCCCGATGACCCTGGGGACGTCGACAAGGTTGCAGTGGGTGTGGCTGAGGTGAGCGCGAGGGGAAAGAAGACGCCGATTGAAAAAACGCAGCGACACGCGTTTGCAGAGGGTTCAGTGGGCGGACCGAAGTCACTGACTTCAAGAGAACTGGACTCAGTTCTTTTTAACACAGTAGACAGCGAAATGGGCGAGTCAACTGGCATTCGAGTCCGCAGGCCGAAGAGGCGCTGGAGGCTGACGCGGTGCGAGGGTGTCCTCCTGACAATTATTGGCCTTCTCGTTGCCATTCTCCTTCTTTTGCTATTTTCGGCCTTCAGAAAACCACCAACAGGTGAGTTCACCGCTGCCCTATTGTTAAGTTATTCGCATTCAATTCAACAGCGTAAATGTAGACAACCCTATATTATCCGTATTAGTTGTGGATTGTGCAGACCAAATTAGTAAACCAATTTAGAAAATACTAATGAAGAAACCGGGTACTATGAAGTGCTTTTACCTACCTTTATCTGAGCAAGCTGATTGGGGAATTTACGTCAAATTCATGTTTATTTCGTGTCACCTTAGACTGGAGGTTTTCTCGTGAGCTCAGACGTTCCTGTTCTTATTTCCAAAATTATACCCTCAAACTTCGCGTTTAGTAAACAGGGTAGACAACGTCAGTTTTTCTTAACTTCTCGCCCTACTGTTTGGGGAAGTATTGGCTGTTTTGTGAAGAGTGGTTTAGGTAGGAGTGGGAAGACTATTGGTGTCAAAATAGTTGTCAGTCTTTACAAGTAGTGCATTTTCCACCATAAGAAAAAGTTTCACTATATTTGATTCATAGATGAAAAATGTATATTTTTAGAGTTCCAGATATGCGCTGGTCTCACAAGTCCTAGACTGTAACATCCTTTTTCCACTACTCACTATGCTTCTTGTTCCAGTCCAGGAAAGTTTCCGTGTAAGGGAAACCATACACTCCTATGGGCTATTAAGAATACGTCATATACTCTTTATAAGATTACACGGTGGATGTGGATCATATTGTATAATTTATAAGTCGCATAAATAAATTGACAGTTACGGTGCCTTATGAATGGACAGCCCACGGTCTTAAAAAATCCCATAATTAAAGGCCTATTTTAAAGCAGAAATATATCCTCACTATAAGTAAAAAAATTTGAAGACTTGCTACGAAATGAGCCCGAGTAGGAATATTTTTGTGAGCGTTTGCAATTGTATATGCTTGAATTTGTAAGATCATCGATAATAAGCGGCCAAAACTCATGCGATTTATGCAGTCATTTTTTACAAAGTGCATTTGTTGCAGGCGGTCGGAAAAACTGCTTTCAAAAACCGGCACCCTGACATGACTGAAATATCTCGGGATTTTGTAGCACAAGAATGAATCTTACAGCCTTATTTAACTAATCTTTTCGAATCAAAAACATTTCGGGATTTTGACTAACACTTTATAAGATAGCACATATGTTATATTAATAAAACCGACACCCCTGATGCATAAATAACTTGAGGATCTCGCCGCTCTGATGCTATTTGTAGTGTGTTCGCACCTTGTTGCAAAAGTTTAAATTTGTAGTCGGGCCTAATAATTAATCTGCGTATGTGCCATACTATCATTTTTGGCCATCGAACTAGTTTCACTGATATCATAGATTTTGAAATCTGCTAAAAATCACTTCTATTAACAAAGCTGTCCCCTAGTCTTTTTGGCTTATAACTATTGGGAGCAAGTGACGGCGAGGAATCCTGGTTATCTAAGCTGCGACAAATTAACTGTTTTAAGAAGGCCATTTACTGAATAAAAATCAACCGGTGGTGCAATGAACGCCATCATTGTTAAAGTGAAGCACGAAAGGACTCCTAAATATGGACGGACATAGCTCGGTGATGTATGAATTTATCTTTAAAACATATGCAAATAATTTCCTCCCACAATTTTAACGGTAATCCCGCAGAACTACATCGAAGAGGATATCAACGGTCTTTAGGTAGCGACCATATTGCACTCGGACAAACAAATGACCGTTTGACACGCGAATATGTTAGTACCTCCCGTTCTACGAGTGGCCTTTTGCTAAATTTTCCGGAGAGGGGTTACTTATCCCCGTGTCCTAACTACGGCCCTAACGCAAGCAGTCCTAACGCCAATCCTCCTGGAATTATGTACAAGATAACTTGTAATAGGGGAGGTTACTTACGATCGTGTCCTGCTCAAGTTACAGAGATAAATTTGAAGTCGTTATTCACACATCACTTTAAGTGGGTGTAATTATTTGGGTATATATAAATAAATCAGAGTGGTTAGTGCAGCTTAGTCTCACGCTCTGCCGCTTCATGTGCGGGAACTTCAGCAACTCAAAAAGAAATGCTGTGGAATAAGTTCTCGAAAAGAATTATTAACCTAGTCACGCTTGTTGATCTTGTAGGTCTTTTAAAGGTTATTTTAGGGTTCACTTGTGCGGTGATATTTCTGCCAGGCAGCCAGAATATAAGCAGTTAAAACTTGGCTGCATACTTATTTGCTATAGAAGAATTTTAGTAAATAAGAAAGTTTGTAACGAAATCCATATCTCCGTCTTCTTGACACATCGAATGGCCTTGGAAGAATAAGGAATCATAAGTGTTCCCCTTTACCCGAAGCTTTTAGTATCCGGGTAGCTTCAGGGCATATTCTCATTTTATTCCCTCAGAATGTTCAGGCATGCAAACATGGAAATAAATTCATTTGTTGGTTGACACCATGCAAAATCTCCACCAGCTTCATCTTGCTTGTTAGTAACTAAACATAGTTATTTGCTCCTCCTAATTGGTGAGCTAGCCACAACTTTGCATCAACTCCCCTCAGAGAAATCATAGCACTTTGATAGTTTCCCATATGATTTAATTCTGAGCCTGCCATCGTAATTCTGGTTTAAAGGCTTACTAGGCGGTCCGAAGACGTAAATGATGCCCTTTAGTTGACCCCCTACGCTTGGAACCTTGCGCGCGTTCGAACATAGCTAATTAGACCTGATGCTTGACTGGGCATTTAAAATGTTTTAACAAATGCAATTGGGAATATTTCTTAAGCCTGCAATTTTAGTCACTTGTCGAAATTTAATTAACGACCGTCTGATGGCATTTTCTGTGCGTGTGTTTGTGTGGCAACGGTGGTACAGATGACAGCACACTCTTCATCCCCCACGGACTGATGTACGGTCTGTTTGGCGAAATAGGGATGCATGTGTGGCAGTCCCCTTACATCGGCGAGATTTCTCTACAAAGGACGTAATAAGTTGCAACCTTGAAATTACTCTCCCAGTCCACTGTTGGCTCATTGTTGCACCTGACAGTCACACCTCCGGAGGTCTGACACGGCTGTGACAAACACCGGGGGGAAGTGAACGAAAAATCTGACATATCTGACATGTATCCCTGGCATCAATGAGAGCAGGGTGTATTGTGTGTCTGTAACTCAGGTAATCAAAGTGCGCACACCCTCTAAACGCAGTCCTTTCCTGTCGTTTTGGATATATACCGCCAAAAATTCCTGCTCTTTCCAGAAGGTCGCAGCACTCTGATAGTTAGTTTCACATGTGGGTTAGTTCTGAACCTGCCATCTTAACTCGGGTATACGGGCTTAGTAGGTGGTCCCAAGACCTACATTTGGCATCAGTTTTTATTATAAAGAAAAAACAGACCATTGAAAAACCCACTTATAGGCGTATCCATCGTAGCTCTCCTCACTGGTTCTGATATTTCTATCTATTCAACTGTAGCAAAAACTGCACATGTAACTGTCTTGCTTCTGGACTAGTTAACTGATTTTGTATCTTAGATTTCTGTGACAAAAGCTATCAGTAGCCTAAGAAACATGTTGTGAGGATAATTTTCAAATGAAAAACAAAAGAACTGGGACGGGCATTCTGACAAGTTGTTCATTCCCCTAGCTTCGATCAAATCACGGTTTACTGTATGCTTACGCATTAAATATTTAAAGTTTACAAGTCCACTAAATCCAGTGTTTATTTGTTACTTGAATATGTGTTGTCTAAACTTCTACTGAGATTGCCTACCTCTCCTCAACAGAAAATAATGCGTTCGAAAGGACATACAGGGCGATGCAAATTACGTGAAGAGTGGAATATATATGGTGAAGGGTCGAAAGCATTTCGTCAGATGCGTGCGTAACTTAAGAGACGTGAATAAGCCGGAAAGAAGTGCCGTACCAAATCCTCAATAGGTCTTGTCCGTTTTCCTGTGCTAATTATAAAGCGAGGATTAAACCAGAGTGGGCTACGTTATCAAGCGAGGTTTAAGATAGAAAACTAGACATTGAGACCATATTAGTGAGAAAATAAAATATACTTCGACGACATCTCACGAAGAATGTGACTTTGGGCTTCCTTCAAAGGTTATTTCATCTCCCGTTGCCGAGTGTTTTTGCTTTTTCCCGCAGGTCTCGGTTAAATGACCTAAATAAGTAAACTGTCAATGGCCGATTTACACTAATTACAATAACATTTCATGTTGTATTTTGGACCTACATATTTGAGTTTCGACAGATTTCTACTTATGTATTTTTCTAGAGGAGTTTGTCTTTTCGGAATGCGAGAAATGCTTGTTCACTTAACAGTTTACTGCTGACTGGCGGTCCATAACATACCAATTTCTATGGTGGATTTGGGACCACTGCCATGCATAGGAGACAGCACCAAGAATTCAGGAACCATCTCATGCACTCACTTTCAGACGCCTGTTTTGAAGTAGTGACTCAAATGTTTGAAGGCCTAAGTTGTTTCTCCCGAACCACGTTAATCTCTCTTCCGTCTAATAATAATCTTCCACACTAACTTCCTTTATCCTCCTCTTCCCAATCCCCAGGCTAGGAAAGACGTCAGCAACTTCTTCGCTCATCACGATCCCAGCGCAAATCTAATCATCCTCACGTCATTTCGCTGACAGACTGACAGTTTGCGACCAGCTTCTGTCATTCCTAGGCTCATTTGTATTTCTCAGGAGTTCGGTTCTGTAAAGCGAACATCCACTGAAGGGGCCGTGGAAGGGTGTTTATTGTTCAGAACACCAACGTAGGCGGCGTGTAAAACGGTGATAAAAACAACAAATAGGTGCCGTGCAGTGTTTTCTTGACTAGGGCCATCACTTTCAGAATCAGTACGTTTGCAGGTGTGGGGGGATGATAGAGAGTACTTTATGATCACTCATCCTGGTAATATTGCCATAATTTCGAAACTCAAGTTAGAATTTCGTTTAATTATTCCTGAATTTGCGTATACCACAGAAGGATCTGTAAAATAACTATGCATAGTGAGCACAGAAATCCGTGATCCACCGACTAACGTTAACATATGCATTCAAATATAAACATTACTCAGTTGAGGCTGTACAAGTGATTGGCACATGACGTCACTGAAGATAATTAGTTCACTCTAGGATGCTGATCTTTCGCTGGCCATCATTCTGGCTACTTGCCTTATATTAGACGAGACAAGATCACTATCCAAGCAGTTGGTTTTCCTGGTGTCCAGAAAACTTAAGTACATTTTTGGAGGACTTCCAAAATATAATATCTTTGATTACTTAGAAGAATGAACTTCAAAGGTTTCATTTGAACGATGGGTGTCCTTCGTCTTCAGAATGTCTGCCACTTATAAAGGTTTTAAATCACAAACCCTGGTGTTAATTGCATCCGAGGTCTCCAAACTACACTCATTATACACTTTCAAAGGTATAGAATGTATCTCATCAGATCACTTTAAAAATGTCCCTCAAAGGTCATTGAATGCTGCAAAAGGATTGAATAAAATGATGTTTCAAAGGCAGCTTCAACAAACATGGAACTTCTAGACCACATGAATATATGAGATTCCAAAAAGTTACCACATTTGCTGAATTTTTAAAGCAGAGAGCCGTCAATCTCTCTGATATTAACTTTCAGGAAGACGTAATTTCCAGCAGAATGAGTGCAAGAAATTGAACTGTGACGCAGACTTCTTCGGGAAATCCGATGGGATTGATGTAGGTTTCGAACATAAATGGAAAGATGTGCATTGCCTAAGTACTGACTTTGTCGTAAGTTTTGTTTATGTAAGTGACCTGGAATATGGTTAACCAAAGGTTAACATCCAGCAGTGTCTCGATCCAAAGACTTACAGTGCGTGACTGATCTGATGAAATGTTGGCCGAAATTATGAAATGCGTTTTCAATTAGGAAGGATTACTTAGGTGGGGCTGTAATACTGCTTATCAAACGACATAATCCCATAGTATTTCAGACTCGCCAGGATGTCGGCTTTTGAATGCACGTCTTTTCGACCTCCTATAGAAGCTACACTTGGTAAAAAATGACCACTTATTTAGCATGCATTGTTCACATTGATATCTGATGTTCTTATAAGTTTAAATATTTTTAATGGAAAACATGCACAAAAATATACTTTTCTCTACTTGTTTGGTTGAAAATAGCCTTGCCTTTACATTTTATGCCGAAGAAAGCGTATATTTAGGTTCTAAAAAGTTTCCCAATTCCCCAATAATGTTGGGCCAGATCAGCCGTTGTATTACCATTAAGCGATTCCATTCTGCAAGGTGTATGCTTTCCGCATAAGAAAAATCGTCTAGTCCTCCATGCCTTTGTGAAGATGCAATGTTGAGTCAATAAAATTTCGCAATGGATGTGGCCTATGTCGTACGTTTCACTAGGAGCATTGGTAAACGAAGATGCGCGACGTTGTATGCATGGACATCGCGCGGTCTTAAAAAACTCCTAATTATAAACTTTTTTAAACCTAAATATACGCTTTCGTCGGGTATAGAATGTAAAGAAAATGTTACTTTTACCAAACAAGTCAAGTAACACTTCCTTTCTAGCCGTTGTACTGTCTAATTTTTACTGTGCAAATCATTGGTCAAGTTTTAAATTTTTGAGGATAATCAAAGTTCAGTGCTTACATTGAGAGATCACGTCAGTAAAAACACGAAAGACCATTTAATAAAACAGTATCCTCCCTAAATTGCGGCGAATGTTCGAGTTCCAGGTGTACGTATAAGTGAAGAAGACGGGTAGAGAGCAAGAACAGCCTGTTTATTGATAAGAGGTGGAGGCGATCGCTGGAACAAGAGTTTCATTCGCCTGACATCTCGGATTCACGCTCGATTCCATCATGAGAGACGGTAACAGAAATCCGTATCTGTCACTGTCTCTGATGATAGGCTCGAGCGAGACTACGAAACTTCAGGCGAATAAAGCTCTTGTTCGAACGATTGCTTCTACTTCTTATCAACTAGTTTCTGGAACTCGCATCTTAGCTCGTATCGGCAGTCTGTTTATTGTTCTGAGCATTATAGCTCGTGCAGGAGTCCATCTCAGGTATAGTAGCAACAACAGAACAAGTGAGACTTATAGGGGGCGCTGACCTGTCACCGATCGATGACATAAGACTAGAGGTGACTGCGCAGGGCTCTGTACGCCGGCGCCAGATCGATTAATTAATTGACTAAGTCCTCATCCGAGACACAGACTTCAATCACTTCTCGGCCTGTTTCGTTTCCGGCGTGGACGATTATCTTAATGACCGCGAAGTTAAACTCACGACCCACTTCGTAGGTGTGAGCAGCCACCAGCGACAATCTGTCGCTCCGCTGCATACCCGGCTTATGTTTGTGTATGCGCGATTTGAGTATGTGTCCAGTCTGGAATGGGATGCGATACACTACTCCAGATTGCTCCCGGGGATCTAACCCATGCTCGGGACCATAAACAAACTGTTCTGCTGCTCGACCGGAATCCTTTATGTAGGGATGTCAACACACATTTCCAAAATACCGATAAGGTCTAATACCTTCTCTGAAAAAGACGTGGGACTGATTTTTCGAAACCGCTAAACACATATGCTTGTCTCAGCACAAGCTCATATGTTCAATGTTTGGGACTGTACCTTGGTCACCTATTTAAGTTATTCGAGTAAACCAGCAGACCTTCAGATCTGAGCTCTGGTCTTACCAATCAGGCAAATGAAAGAAAAAGGGGAAAAAACATGTATTGTTCTTTCGTCCTTCCTGAAGTTCTAGTAAGTCCGAACTCAACGATGAATTAAGTGGTAACTCGGGCGGCGATGCGGTTTTTCGCGTAGCAAACATTTTTATCTCGCTGGTCGAGCATATGGTGATGTAGATGAACGCAAGAGTAGTGTTCTTCAGTCCCTCGGATAGGGGCTGGGGAGAGACTGAAGCCGCGGTTTCCCATCCCCTATAAGTACGTAGATCTTGATAACGTCTGTCTTTGAAATGAAACGGCGCTGGCCGCAGCGGCGGCAGCAGCTGAATATCAGAGGAGCACCTCGCGCAGGCTGCTGCTCCCTCAGTAGTGTTCCTACGGTTTTTTTTCCTCCGGAATTATGTAAGCCCATTGTTAGTTCGTAAATCCGGCAGTTCAACTAGATAATACATGGAATTATGCAGAAACAAGAAACTTGCGCAAGTGTTTGCAATCTATAACATAACTGCTTGAAAATAAATCCGGCAATGACCTATGTTAGCATACAGTATATGGGCTAACTCATGAAATGTCAACCAAAATTCCAAAATGCGCTTTCGTTTCGAAAATATTAATTAGGTAGAGTTGCAAGATCACTCATCATGCAGCATAGTCCTGTAATAATTCAGCTGCCTCAGCATGCCGGCTTTTGAACGAACTTCTTTCCGAATGCATGCAAAAATTATACTCTGTGAAAAAATGAATACTTATGTAGCATGCATTTTTCTCATTGATTTTCGATGCCCTTAAAAATTCCATTAAATTTCATGGAAAACAAGCATAAAAATATTCACTCTTTTGCTCATTCGGTATAAAATGACGTCTTCTTCCACTTTTATACTCGAGGAAAGGGTATAATTCGGTTTTCGAGAACTTTTCCAATTCCCGAATAATTTTGAACCCCGAACTGCCGTTACGCTTACATTCAAGGTTTCCAAACTACAAGCTGTATATTTTCCGCGTGCGGAAAACCATACACTTCTCTACGGCATTAAGAGGAGACCATATGGGGTTCATCAAATCTAGCAGTGGATTTAGGCCATATTGTTAAATTTGTTAAGCCACATACGTAAATGCAGAGACATGATTTTTATGAACGGCTACTTCACGGTTTTAAAAAGTCTCATAATAAGAAACTTTTTAAAACCAAATTATAACCTTCCTTCAAGTGTGACCTTTTAAGAAGCCCTAATTTTCTACCGAATGAGTAAGAAAATGAATATTTTTATGGCTGCTCCCCATAATATATAGTTACATTGTTGAGGACATCGAAAATCAATGATAAAAATGTATGTGACATAAGCAGTCATTTTCTACAGAGTACAGTTTTTCCATACAATCGGAAAGAAGTTCGTTCGGAAGCCGGCATCCTGCGGTAGATGAATTGTTATAAAAGTATGCTGCATGATGATGAGTTTTACAACTCTACTTAATTAGTCTTTTCGAAACGAAAACGCATTTCAAAATTTCGGTCGACATTTCATGAGTTAGCTCATCTACTGTACATTTGTTGGTCGAAGGTCTTGTAACGAGACGCATCTTCAGCAGCTTTGTCACTGGTCGAAGAATTGCAATACGGTCAAGGGGCACTAAGTTATCCCCACTTTTAAATCACAGGGAACATGAATTTGCCTTCAGACATACCTTCGTCTTTCGGCACTCGGCAGATTTCACACGACGAATAATGTTGGGTTAGAAGTTGAAGTAAAGACACGAGGCTTTTGATTTACAGCCGACCACAATAAACTAATGACAGGCTTAGACAGTTCCGTCTCGATCAGATTTCTAGATATTTCACGGTGGCAGAAGTTCGCAGATTAGGCACCCCTAGAGAATAATTTATGCTGCTGACAAAGTTAACTGCGCACACACATCAGGTCATACTTTTTAAACGCGAACCCTCCTGAGAGTACCAATTGATTTGAAAAATCAGCGACAATTTGACTGGCTAACAACTGCCTTCCGTTTCCTAGTTGCCTCAGTCTAAAGCACTTGTTTTCTTGACACAGTAAATTTGAATTGCTCTACGACTTCAGTCAAAGTCTTGGAGTTTATTCCTTTTGTTTGTTGTGGCAAGACTATCAATCCAATTGATCGGATGCATTTTTCAGTAGAACAGTTGCCTTACCCGTAATCCTTTCGCAGTGTAGATGTTTTTTTAACACCGCGGAAGTCATAAAAACCCGAGAATTAATTTCATTTCTACAAGAAGATGCTAAAAGGGGACGGTTTTGCTGTAGACGTCTCATTGTTTCCCTCTGTTGGTCCATTTCTTGCATTTATCCGAGTCCCATCTGAGCGACAGTTTATTTATTAGAAATTCTCAACTGCCTCATGTGATAGTGACGTTTGTTGATCTGAAGTCAATACAGGACGTAATACGGGGTTCCATTCTGTTTTTGACTTCGTCTTAAGACCCTCGCTGCTGATCGTCCTTAATTACTTCCGAGTAATAAGTACTCATAAGACATTACCAGCAGAAATGAGGATCCAGTCAAGGCGGAATGCCCAGATTCCGGCTTAGCTGAAATTGCCGTGAATGTGCAAAAGCGCGAATTTGCTGAAATCGACCACAAATTTGCTATATTCCAGCCTCACGATCATATAAGACAAATGGTTTTTGATGATTGTGATTCCTGTCATACCAGGAGTTTTGTGTAAGATCGGTTAACGACACTCCCATTTGAACTTAGATATTCTTGATCGCAGCTGACAGAGCTTGAACCCATATCAGTGTTACCAGAACATTAAGTCGAATGACCGTTTGGGTCGGGTTCAGGCCTTGAGTCCATCCCACCCCAGGCAACGGCGGATAAGCCAACACGGTCCGCTCAGTTTCCTATTTTCTGTCAGTTGTTCCTCTGCTTTATTGTATCTTACGTCAACTGAAAGCATTAACCTAAAAAGTTTTGTTACAGCCCTACCAAGTAAAATCTCATTACAAACTCATATACGCATTTCGCTGATGCATTTGCTGCTTTATCACGCAACCGCAAGGAGTTCGGCTTCTCTTCATCCCTCCCCCTGCGTCCTCTATGCTATTTAGCGGAAGCATGCTAAAAACACGATCATGTCACAGTAGCACACTAACAGTACCATTCGTTCATACAATCAGCATTACGAGTGATGTCGCTAGTTGAGACAAAAGTGCAGCCTTAATTCAAAAAACTGCCAGAATTAATGTAAAACAAGCATAAAACATCATAGGGTGTTGTCTTAATAGTGCGGACAACTGCTTGTGGCCTTCTTGTTTCCTTCAGGCAGCACGCCAACGCCTTTTCGACATCAACCAAGTTAGCTTCTTCATTGCCATTAAGAGTGTGTCGACGTGACCACAGGGCGCACAAAATGGTTAAAAACATTGTATCTTCTGGCCCAATCAATCTTAAATACTATCAATGACAACCTAGTCGGAAACGGACGGAAATACGCAAGAAATTTGAAGCTAGATCCTCGTTTAGATGCTTGAAGATTTTTCCCTCAATGGAACGGGAAAGTCTAATCCTGTAGCATAAGGCATGTCTTTGGTCCGTGGTAGCATTGTTTTTTCCAATAGTATTCACCTCTACTTGGGATTTTTGCTATAAGGGTGCATGAGCAGCTTACATCTTCTGTGCCGCCTAGTACTCTTCTCCGCACGCGTACCGCCCATTCATACTTTTAAGTGAGGTGGTCGGTCGCCAGTGTAAAACGATGCTGTCGGACACGATCGTAAGACCCGATTCTGACGTGGCCAGAAATTTTGCTGTTCGAAGAAGCCAGAGCGGGAGCCTGTCGCTCAGCAGACACAACGAGAAGCAGAGGGATCGGCTTTACCTGAGTTTAGATTTCCCGTCTTCCGAACCGAGGGTTGAGGCGACAGCAGGTGGGGTTTGAAAAATAAGCCGAGAATGACCATTGCAAGCTTTCTTATACTAGCCTATATTATACTGCTCATCACCATTCGGGAACCATACACTGAAACTCAGAATCAAAATACGGCGCTGGTGTGCTATATTCACACCAGCTAGCAAGAACAACCACTGTCTGGTTTTTCCCTTTTACCTATGTCGTGTTGCCTTTATCGGTGTTTTATCAAATTAACTTTACAACTGGGACCTTGCCATCCCTCAAGGGTACCTTTTAATCTAAAAAAGTCAAGTTTGTCCGCAAACGTGGCGGTGCGTATTGTTGTGTTTAGAATACCGAAATCGGTACGCATGCTGTTTACACATTTGACGGAACCGTCTTAACACACCCGGGAACTGCCAAATTGTATTGATGGTCTCAAACTGATTCCAGGCTTCTTACTAACCTTTTGGGACTTTGATAAGGTGCGCAGCCGCCATTCTAACTACCTCAATTCATTGAGACACTTTACTTGAAGTTATGCGGGTAACAATCGGGAGATGGCACCCAAAAAAATCCGCCTAATCAAAGCAGCCTGTCTTACGGAACAGGTGGTAACAGGGGTTTTATGGGTGATGGCTGGTGGGGATGTACGATACAAGCTGACAGAAAGCCTTATTTGAACAGGTGAATGATCGAAGTTGGCCCGCTTTCCGTTCCGTTATTACAAAATGGGTCGCCAAAGGCAGTATAGTAGTAACGGAGGAGTGGAAGGCGTATAATCGTCTTCCCTCAGAAGGTTATCTACATTTCTCTGTTAACCACTCAAAGAACTTCAAGGACTCAACCACCGGACGGCACACCAATGCCATTGAGGCATACTGGAGTAGACTGAAAAGGAAACTCCACGAGGGAAACCCTGTATATTGTCAAGCTGTGTGGGCTCACATAGACGAAGTACAGTATCGTCTTTGGTTTGGTTTCAGTGCCATGTCTTTAACAGATGCCTGGGAACTGTTCCTGTCCCATGTTGTGCAGATTTATCCTATTTAAAAGTGACTTTGTTTTGTAATCAACTGCCATAATGCGAATGTATGCCGCATATTCAGGTGTATGTGTGTAACGATGGGGAAGGTTGGGTAATAGCGACCATCGTCCATGCAACCTCCTGCGATGTTCGTTCGGTTAGCCCACGTTAGGCCGTCGAGGAAAGTCCAAGTATTGCGTGAAAGTAGGCCTGCAACCGCTGATATAGCCTGAAGGCGTTTGAGACCACTGTTAGAGGTATTATTTCTAGGTAACGGATTTTTTTGGGTGCCATCTCCCGATTGTTACCGTTATGCGTTTAAACAATGTTTTTGGCGTTGCTTGCTTTGAAATTTCATCGTAGTAGTAACTCCTAGTATAACTGCTTTCGACATAGGTAGTTCCATTAGGCATCATCAAAAAAAGGTTTATAATAGGATCTCATTATTGCAACAGCGATAAACGGGCAACATGGTAACAAAGGACTAAAGTACTAAAGTAGGGCACTTTCCTTTCTGGAGATTTCGGGTTTTGTAAACCACAGGGAATACTCATTCACAAGTCGGTAATTTTTTGCCTTGGGACAAGTCGGACCATAGGCCTTTTGCATTTAATTTGACTGTTACGCAATTTGAGCCTCTAGAGCGACGCTACTTGCGACACTGAGCGACTCATCATACTGACAGCATAAGTGCCAGTTAAAAGCCTTTTAGTAAAAAATCCCCTCATTGAAATAAATCATTCTAGGCTTCCATTTATTCAGTTTTATGGCACTAACACTGTCAAATCGCAGTCCCGCAGAAGGGTCAGCGATGACACGCATCTGTCATATACCCACGCGGGTTATCCTCTACCAGATCTTTTTTGATGACATTAGAACAATAGTCAGCGTCCAATTCTTCGCTTACATGTATCCTAATAGAAAAGCATCCCTATTAGTTCTAACCGGGGAAAAACGTTTGATGACATCCTCGTTACGATTTCGACGTAAGAGAGGGAAGAAGAACAGTCCTTTCAGTTTTGTAAAAGTTCTTGTTTAGTTTCAATCCCATAACAGTTATTAACAGGCATTTATTAATGAACAGTATTAGTAAGCCACTTTCAGAGTAGGGAGACTGCGAAGGATTCGTGGGATACAATATGTGAAAAACGCTTTTTGCTCTATCCCGATTAGAGAATAAAAGAGTTCAGGGGGTCAGCAGCGTTTGGCCCAAATGTCCAGTGAAATACTGCATCCAGCTTAAAACCTCGCATGCACCAGCACTGGGATCTGAAAACCCATTGACTGGTGACGGAAAATATGTCCGAACTGGCCATCTCGCGGCCGCCACTTTGAACTGCAACCAAAATAATATGGAATTGTTGCGGCTTATGTGCATAAATCACGCTATCGAGATTCAACTGATGCAAGATGGTTTCGACTGTCTAAACAAATTCTGCGACCTAAAGTGCTTTAGCGAATCCTGGCACAGGGTGACTTCTGCCTACCTTACGGACTGCAGAGATTAGATTCCGAAATTTTGTAAAATCGCATTAGAACTACCTTTTTACTGATATAAGAGGAACCCATTGAAAATAAATGATGTTTGGATTGTCTTGGTTATCGAAAGCGAGCAAGAAAAAGTTTCTGCAAACACCCATTTTCTAATGTAGGTCAGTAAATGATGAACACACGTACACTGAGACACGTCCAGACCTTATGTTCGTGAAAGACCTATTTCACGCCAGAATAATGTCAGAAAGAACGATCCTAGCGTTTTCAGAAAGCGCGCGGTTGGTAAATTGGTTTAGGAAGCTATTAGAACCCTCACCATGCATGATTGGGAATATAGGTTAAGGCTAAGGAGTTCTGGCGAGGAAAGCGTATCCCGGAAAACTGATCTACGCTCAGGGTGGTCACTAAGGCCAACCTCTAAATGCTGTGAGACGGCCGCTGGATACATTCGTTCGGAAAAGTAAATGCACAAAAAATACATTACAAGACCACTGTTAAGTAGCTTATACAGTGCGGGATTAACCGAGGAAGCACATGAGCTAAGAGCTAATTAAGTGAGATACGATGGCGGAACTAATCAAAGCGGATGTTATCACTTGGTGCCAGGGATTGTAAGGAGGAAAGTTGATGAGTGATAAGTCAATTCTACGGAGGAGTATACGTAGGAATTTTTGTACTTACTCCACAGAGACAGTTGTAGACCGGACTGATATAGATAAAAATGGGTCGGGGACCGGGGATCATGGTGCCGAGGCCGTTTCATTACGAACTTGTCCGCGAGTCCAAGGATAAATGACATTTGTATATAAATCCCATGCGTTTAAAGAACCCATTTCCACCTGAATTTTCATAACAGACCTGAACACGGCCTTACTCGAATCGTCTGGCAAGACTAAGGCCGTTGCTGCAATTGAAATGGCGGCTATTGCTATGGCAATTAGTGTGATGACGAATGACTTTGAGCTGTTATATCACCCAGCCAGTCACGTTCTTGTGTAAATCCCCACTTTTGATGTCGAGTCTGAGTACGAAATTTAAAAACCAGGCTAGTAAGCAATATGCATCAAGGACTCTAACTTCTTCACATAAATTAACTAAGGTATATTAACTCTCATTCCTAAGTTTTATCCTTCTGTTATTCTTAAATGATAACCTCTTCCGCTATATACTTCCGTACTCCCTACTTAAAGCGGAAGTCTGCCAGACGGTGGAGTGCATAGCAACATCCCAGAAGATACTCAGTGGCATGAACTTTAGCGTGGATCCCTGCAACGACTTCTATAGTTATGCCTGCGGCAACTGGATCGAGAACCATCACATTCCCCCGGGGACGAACAGCTGGACAGTCTTCTCAGAGCTTGCACAAACGGCAGAATTCTTTGCAAAAGAACTCTTGGGTAATTTCTTTGCGAATCTAGTTTTTTCATATATTCCCTTCACAAGTTGCGGCAAGGATTCACTCCACAAGCTTATTGTTTACGCAGCCCAGCATGCGAAGCTTTCTAGGTTGCGCGAACAACCACATCAATAAGTGCGTTGTATTACATTACCGCGAAGTCTTCCGTTGTAGTATATTCGCTGTTAAATTCAAGCTTACAACGACTTCAACTGTGAACATTTGACAGACATACCCTGAATGGGATTTAATTATCGATTCTCCGGATTCGGAATGGTGTGCATGGGAAAGTATTTTATATTCATCATAATATACAAGACTCTTGTAAGCATGTACGTATTGCTTTGTTACGAGAAATCGTGCAACGTTAACTGGGGAATAGTTAGTCCAACATACGCACGCCGCAACAAGTTGTGTGGATTCCTGCCAGATGTTTCCTTGAGTAAGGCCACCGTTTCCTTGCTGATTTATGTGCTGCTAAGTCGAACTTCGTCATCTGTGAGCCGGATGTCTCACAAAATGTTAATTCCCTTGTTGTATAAGTTCACATTTTCTGATATTTCCTGTGATTCGCCGGGGACCGCTTTCGCCGAGGTCATATGAGTTTAATTTCTATGTGTCACAGCCACAGGTAACGCATGCTCCTATGAAAAGTGTCTGCAATCGATTGACCGACGTAAAGGTACGTTAAAATTACTTAATCTTCAGTGAACAGCATTTACATCAAACATTATTCTCGTTGACTACACAGTCGAACATTTAATACGCGATGGACTGATATCCACGTGTTTCATTGCACAGCCAGTTCTAACGTCCGTTTTGATATCTTCGCCGTCCTCCGCCTAGCATACTAAAAGATTTTTGGACTTTTACTAAAAAAGCCACATTTAGGCAAAATATTTTTCCGAAATTCACAGTGTTTGACGGTTGATGAATACTTATACTCAGGATTAATAAGAAAACTCCATATACGAAATTAAATTAGGATGAGAACAGAGAACTTAGCAATTATTTAGAATAGTTTCACTATAGTGAAGGTCTTGTATCGTCAAGTCGACATGAAACTCTAGATCAAGGGCTTAAAACGAATCGTCACCCTAAGTGGTACCACGATATTCATTTTGCCTTGGAATCAGACTAATCGTAAGTAGATTAGCGTACGGCTACTTGAGCGGATAAACTGTGAAGGCTAAATCATGTCTAGAGGAGTGCAGGCAAGGTTTGATATTTTTATTCGCCCATCCCACATCTTTCCAAATTCGTTCTGTTTTCAATACCAAATAGTATATATTTAGAGATTGCGCTTGCAGGCAGCGGTACACTAAATTTTGAGCCAATATTTTCATAGAACTACACCACTTGGATGTGGTATTACAGAGCAGGGAACTTCAAAAAACCAAAAACAGACGTCTAGGCTTTGCTGAGTTGCCTCGGGGAATTTCCATATCCTGAACCACAATAAAAAAAATTCTAAAACCGGAGCACGGAAGCAGGGATAATTGACATATGATAGTACTTTATATCCCAAAACATCTATGAACTACGTGAGACTGGTAGTCATCTGGTGAATTCTAGGTGAATTACTTAGGAAATCCTGCTTGGGCGGTCTACTTAGTGTATCCGATTTGGTGGATTCCAGACATTGCGGTAGGTTGAGGGGGTAACTTGACCCAAATGTGATTAAACTCGCGCCGTCCACCGGGGCCTCGTAGCGCAGGTGATTAGAGCGTTGGCGGTACTAAAGCCTTTCCTTTACTATCGTGGTTTCGAATCCCACCGAGGCGCCGAGTTTTTTACAGTTGGGTCAACATGAAGTACTTTGTATCCCACGATCTAAAAGTTGTTCTCAAATAAATGTGTGCCCTAAAAATTGTTCACTAATTCCCGAACAAAATAAAATCTTTTAAGGCATGCAAAATATACAAATTTTGGCGCCAAATGTGGAGAAAGAGAAAGTGGTCAGATACCACAGGTTAGGAATGCAAAAAGTCTGCAACCCGTGCAGGTTACACCGACCGCTTCGCTCAGAGTGCTAGTGTGACAGATTTAGCCGCATACATATATCACGGTGAGTGACCAATCTCATGAATTGTTGGTCGAAATTCTGAAATGCATTTTCGATTAGGAAGGATTACTTAGGTGGGATTGTAATGTTGATTATCATGCGACATAATCCTATAATTTTTCGGACACGCACTTCTTTTCGACCTCCTTAACCAACTGCACTCGGTAGAAGATGATTACATAAGTAACATGCACTTTTCACGCCGATTTTTGATGGTCTTATAAATTTAAATATACTTTGCAGAATACATGTACAAAAATATGCTTTCTTTCACTCGTTTGGTAGAGAATCACGTTATCCTTACATTTTATACCCAAAGAAAGGATACACGTAAATTTTAAAAAGTTTATAATTGTGATATCTTTTAAGACCGTGTGGTGTTCATCCGTACAGCATCGCACATGTCCGTTTACCAATGCTCCTCATGAAATGTAAAACATAGTCCGCATCCATTGCAAAATTTTATAAACTTTGTAAGGTACCTTCTTAAAGACATAGAGGCATATATGATTTTCCTTACGCAGAAAGCATGCATCTTGTAGAATTAAATAGCTAAACGCTAGTGGAGCGGCTGATTTGGCTCAAAATTATTCGGGAATTAGGAGGCTTTTTCGCATCCAAAACATACACTTTCTTCGGATAGCAAATGTAAAGACAACGAGATCCTCTTCAAAAAGAGTAAAGGAAAGCATGTATTTTAATTTGTAAGACCATCAAAAATCGACGTGAAAAACGCATTTTACCCAAGTAGTCATTGTCTACCGAGTGTTGTTGCTTCAGGAGGTCGAAAAGAAGTGCATGCGACAGCCGACGTCCTGGCGACTCCGAAATATTATGCGATTATGCCGCATGGTAATCAGTATTACAATCCCACCTAAGTAATCCTTCCTAATTGAAAGCACATATCCGAGTTTTGGCTAACATTTCATGAGATCGGTCACCCACTGTACATACTTTGCATTTCAGTTCAACAAATATTTGCTTAGGCAACTTTACGAAGGGACATAAGCCACTGTTTGTTTCGCCTCACAATTGCAGTCAGATGGTTTTAAAATATTACACACAGCTAATCGGCCTTGAAAACCATTAGAAAGCCTCTATTCTCATTACATGGGCAACAGTACTAGCGTCAAAAGCAGTTACCTGTAATTATGTGCATTCTTAGGCCTTAAAGTTTTCGTGGTGCAAGTTCAGTAGTGTTTCGACAAATACTGTTTCCCGAAATTCTCGAGTAGGATGAAAACAAAATCCGCTATTCGACAACGAAGAGGAACACAGTAAGCGGATAGTTCCCCGATATACGTTATAGAAAATGCGACACTTTTAAGTGTCTTGTTTTTAGTTTTTATAAAAGAGGGGAGCGTGCTTTATGAGCAATCGAGAAGAGTGGTTTCTGCCCAAAATGCATGCGGATACCCCCATTAAAGAAGAAGAACTTTATCTTATCTTCAGTGAGTTATCATGCTTCTACATATAATCGTACAACTGACATCAGAGAAGGGGTTTAAATGAAAACCGTGCATACGAATGATAAGACGGAAAACGTCTAGATGATAGCACTATTTTCACGGCTTTTACATCGTTGGAAGTCCTGCAAAGAAATCCTGTTCGAAGAAAAAACCCTCCAAAACATTTTGGGTGCCGGTAGTTCCAATGACCCCAAAACTTTCATCAATATTTGAAATAAAGTCCTATATTGTTTAGTTGATTCGGGGTTTCTTCGTCCCCCACTGGACTGATCAATGATGCATTGGACTGAAACGGAGGCCGTACGAATTCAAACCACATATTAATCAAGTCACTACGAGTAGATGTGACTACGTCTGTAGAGAGAGGGGAATACGCCTTATTTTGAAAGAATAAATTTAGCATTCTTAGCAAAAAGATACTCCATTCTCTGTGGACAGAATGCAAGTTAAACAAATTAAGTAAAATTCGAAAAGGTTTGCACAAAAAGGAACATCTGTTATGGGGATAATTCAAGTCTCAGTTTCTGTATTTCTGTCTCCTCACACGTAAGATAACGTACCAGAAATAGCAATTCAAAATATTCGTATGTCGTTGTACGGCAAGAAATATGTCAAAAGCCACGGTGCTTGGGGCGGGAGGACTTTATAGCAGTTAGCTCAGAGTGAAGAGAATGGACAACGTCATTCAGATATTCGACCAGCAAAATGTTTGGTCACTGTACGATAATATCAACTAAAAATAAATACTAAACACTGGCCATAGGAGAAAACATTCGGAGGAAGCGTTTTAAAATTAACATATCTTTTTTAATCAAAGCAGGAAAAATATCAGAAGAGCAGTAGAGAATGAAAGGAAGAATACAGGCACCTCTGAATCCTCAGATTAGGGGTTGACATGTGTGGTAGGAACACAAACAATGAATGTAGTAAAGAAGTTTACGAACTTTAGTGAAAGGGCCTCAGTATGCCGGGAAAACGAAAGAATTGATGACAGAGTAACGCCAAGGTACCTGAAAGAGGATACCTCTTTGGGAAGGATACCCAAGGATTCAGAACTAGGAGGGGGTCGCAGTCAGAGGACACATTGAACTGACTTCTGATTATTCAGTAAGAGATCATTTTCCTACGATCATACTGAGACATGATTAAGGCCATCCTTCAGAGACTAGAGATGCGTCTGATTTTTGAAAGGACGACCAACAACCACATGTAACGCGCCATAGACAGTCGATCACGCCACGTCAATCTGTTTGCAAAATTTGATCATTAACCGGCCTGCAGACTCAGAGAAGCCACAGGCGAACAGAGGAGTGAGGAGGGAGTGAGACTGATGCTGGCATACTCTGTATCACAGCAAATTAGCAAAACCCCTGTCAAAATAAAACCGACGTGCTTGAATCTACCATGAATAGCGAAAAACCTTAAATTAGAAGGTTGCCGTCCGATGATGGAGCTCGGCCCTTCTTTGAAGCAAGGTTCATACAACGAGGAACTTATTATCAATGTGACCATCATGGTACTTTTCCCTCCGATGGGATCTGTGACATTTCACTGAAACCCAGCCCGGCTTTTTGTTAACGACGGCCTTCTGTGGCATAGGTAGACCCGCAGCCTAACTTGCCCTCGGAAAACGAATGATACGGAAAGGGCAAAATGACGTAGAGTCTTCAGAGGTCTCCCTCAATGTAAACACATTTCCTCGCTAGTTATTACCAAACCTACTTCGGAAGACAGCAGTCGACCTCTCGGTTTGCGACGGCAAAACTACAATTTCCCCTAATTTCTACGGTTTACTGACCTTTTCATCCTCCACACTTTGGATCCACTGCCATACTGTTCCACCTGACATTCGTCAGAGAAGTAGGATAAAAACGAGAACAAAGTCAACAGGACAAAACCGATGAGCGAATGCCAGATCCCTCGACTGAGAGACAGTTAGCTCTTACAGGCGAATCTTTTCTGACGCTGTTCGAGGGGTAAACATGTTCAGCCACAAGCTGTTGAAACGCGAGGACACAGGTCGAGGAAGCACATAAACCAAAGAAAGTCCGAAGGCAGAGGCCGTTATGTGAAACAGATTGACTTAAGAAGCGCATAAATTATCCGGGTTACGTCTGACCTTATGGTGCAACGGAAGTGCTCAACCCACGGAACAATCGGGCACGAATTCTAGTGCATGTCCACTTTTCTGCAAAACGCTGTGCAACTTTTGAGGTTAGGAGGTTCGCCCGCAGATTTTGGCAGACATGTGCCGCCCCAATGCGCATGCAGAGGACGGAAATAAACGTCTGTTCATTCACGTCTGTGGAGGGAAGAACGGGAAAGTGAGGGTAGGCCTTTGAGAATCATGCACACTGTGTTAGGTTTGCGATTAACAGTGGGGTTTTAACGGCAAAATAAGGAGCTCTAAATAAGTACATGACACAAAACACACAAGTCTTACCATAAACTACTCCTGAACATCAGAAATTTTCTGAAAGCATTTCGACACACGGAGTGCGACACAATGGAAACAACCGAATACTGCTCAGAAACCGGATCTGCAAATACGTGGAGACCTCTCGAGTGGTGAGGGTTTCCTATCGTCGGGCCGATCGGAGCGCACCGCGCCCAAATACATTGCCAATAGAAGCGAAGAGTCGAGTCCCAGGAAGCAGTCGTGAAGAAAGAGACACGATTGCTGGACAAGAGCTTCATTAGCCCGACATTTCGGATTCCTGCTCGAACCCATCATCAGAGACAAAAGCAGATACCAGATATCTAATTTTGTCTCTGATGATGGGTTCGCGCAAGAATCCAAAATGTCGGGTTAATAAAGCTCTTGTTCCAGCAGTCGTGTCCTCTTCTCACGGAAACAACCGGGTATCTTCAAAACTCAGAGTTCTAGATGAACAGTAAAAAACGCCTTGCTTGAGGCAATTCAAAGGCATTATTCTACGTATCACTGGGAATTGAATGCTGAAAGGGTATTTCAACTTTGTCCCATAATAGACACATAGCTACAACCGGTTTTATCAACACATAAGCATTTAGTAAATTACGCGGCTGTGTGGAATTCTGCTGTCCTACAAATCAAAACTTGAATATTCTGCAGTGGCTAATAAACTTCGGCCTAAATATTTATATCAAAATCCCGTTCGAGACTATAAATCTCAAATAGACTGATTTATTCCAAGTTAGCGATTAACTTCTGAGAAAATTAAAAGGTCGCAAGTAATTTCTTATTCTCACATTAGGCGCGTAAATGGTCCCCTTTACTTCATGATAAAAATTGCCGTTCACCATAGCTTTGGTTGGTAGGATTTTACACGTGTGTCGACTGCCTGGATCTTCTGGCACATAACATTATTTTGGTCTGAATATTTTCAAACTGTCCACGTCGGACTAACCACTTATTATTTCGCACGTCCTACCCTAATGTTTACCTTCATATACCGCAGAGTTTTCCCAGAGAATATCTAAAACCTATACGTTGTATGTTAGTTTTAATGAAGAGAGAAATTGTTTTAATAAGAATTTCTCGTTTCGTAAATGCGTAGCAAAGTGCGAATAAAAATATCGTCATGAAATTAAGGCCTAACTCATAAAGTATCCCGGATATTTTATCTTGAGTTTTTAAGTTATTTTTCCTAACTTTATGCCGACGGCACGACATGTTTGGTTTGTAATTAAGGTAGAATTTGAGTGAAGACTTATGGCGAAGTCGTTGGGTTCTATGGCGGACTATTGTGAGGCCGGAATTTGATACGGCTGCTTCGAACTCGTTGGACGACAAACTGTCTTACAAGCTCGGTACATGCTACCGCTTAGTTCTCCAGGATCGAGCATATATCGCGACAACTAAGTGCCACAAGTTGGCCTTCAGTTTAGGAAGGAGTATGTTTGATACATTACTACAAGCATATGTATGGCTAGGCCCACAAATATGGTCTCTTGGACGCAAAATTCAGAATTGGAATTGCTTCCAACGCGGAAAGCTATGCACACCAACCCTCCTTCGCCGAAGTAAGCCGAGATTAACGAGATTGAAGATATGAAAGTAAACTCATTTTAATTTCCCTTGCGGTCCGAGTTTTCATTTTTTGCGGAAAAACTGAAAAAGCAAGACAAACTTCTACACTAGTTGGCCACCAGTAGCAACCATTTTTGCATTTAATGCAGGCGAGCTACAAACGATGTTTTGATAAAGGGAAAACGCAACTTTCAAAATAACAACTGCCTACAGGTCTCGCGAGAGAAGTCAAGGATATGGGTTGAGAGTATGTTAACTGGATTGGAAAACAACTTGCTACAAACAGTACGAAAAGGTTTTCTTTCCCATGTCTTTGCGTTGTAGCGTATAGACCGTCAATAATCCTGCTTTAACATCGGAATAATTACCAGTACACAAGTTAACGTAAATGTTCACCAACACTAGGTACGACCGATACCCTTTGTACCCAGTCAGACCATGCAGCGAACTCCGCGTTCTAACAGAAGTAACCATGTTCACTGTGCTTTTAGAGGACACCTCAACAGCAAACGATAGTCGAGGCCTGGAATTGGCTCAAATCTACTATGCCTCCTGCACCAACGAACATGAAATTGACAGACTCGGGTTAAAACCACTGCAGGATGTTCTGATTCGAATGTTTGAGGGCTGGAGATTGCTGCCGCCTGGTACACCGGGTTCCAGATCTGACCTGGAGGATCCATTCACACCCGCGAAATTTGATCTTACAGATTTAATAGGACGGTTTCTACAGTTTGGACACGGAATTGATATATTTCAGCTGCTTGTTGAAAGAGATCCGAAAAACTCCAGTCGCTTTTCTATCACGGTAAGTACATTGATTTCGTTAGAAACCATGAGTTTCTTTGCAATGGTACTTGTCATGTTTCGAAGATACGAACACAGGATACTTTCAAAAATTACCTCTCAGCGAACGACAATGTAACATCAGGGAGAAATAACCTTAATTTCATTCAATTCGTAAATATGATATGCCGCGAAAAGTGGTTAGGCAAAATACAGCACCCTAATTTACATCCTCCTGATTTTCCGAAGGAGTAGTCATATTTGCTTTTAAATGGGGGACTTCAGTTTTATAATTATAGATGGTATGTTTCTCCGGGTTCGCAGTTGCTAAATAGTTCCTAATGATTGGCTGCAATAGTAGTGACGATTTTATTTCTCTAACAGTCCGAACGCCAAGTTTTTTCTCGTAGATTCCAAATTTAAACGTTGAAGGTTTGAAATCATATATTAAATAGATGTGAAAACAAACTGTCTAAGGTTAGGAATATTTTTGATAGCAAACTAGTGTCATCGAATAAAGTTAAAACATATGCCCTTTTGGCAAAGTAATCTCTATATTTCGTTCATTTTCGTTGCTTTTAAAATAAATTTCTACTTCGTATACTTTGGTAAAACTTTGAAAAAGGTTTTTCGGGCTCTTACATCCTGGAACTTTGGTAACCCCAAAGAATATGTTGCCAAAGCAGATAACATTCCTCTGATGAACATTGCAGTTATTATATGAACACAATTAAATTGGCTGTAAGATCTAACCGGTGAATAATGGTAACTTATGCATCGTAAATTTTCAAATCACCATGTAGCATCCGGTAAAGAAAAGTTCACTGTTCGCAGGTTTTTACTTTTGCGCATACAGTTTCACAAACTTAACGCTTAGGCTAATGCTGAAGTTAATCAATCCTTCTGTCCAAAATCACGAAACACTGACTAAATGAAGTCTACTAATTCTTTGAAAACTTAACTTCCATGATGACCAAATATCCAAGAGCAGGAAACAATTTTGTTTTTTTCAAGAGCGAGAAAAGGCAATTGGTCATTGTCATGTCTGAATTTATACTTTAAATTTCCCTGATGCAAACCATGCGTTAATGATCTCATCTGCGTAATTAACAACAAACCACTTCTGTTTTAAGGCATGCGGGAGTCTCTTTCAACAATAAACTGAATTGCATCTGTTTTGGCCATTTCTTAGCAATTTTTCTTTCAGTTAGGAATTAGTGGCTATGTTAGCCTGAGCGTACTGCTTGGTTTGGAGTTTTAAGGGAATTAAACCTCATTGGGTAAACTACCTCTTCATTTAGTCCCTTATTATACTCTCATATTTGATATTTTTGAGTTTAAACGCCCCGATAGAGGCGAAACGATTTAATGGTCTTGGTCTAAAAACGAAATCACAGTACTTTGTTGTATTTCAGCATGAAATCACCTTTCATGGGACCGTTGATCATCAGTGTGTCTAAAATAAGTTCTTGGGCCACAGTTCCTCGGTCCCCCAGATATCGTGTAAGTGGCAACTCACGGGATCGCGTTGACAAGGGACAGGTTTTTGAGAAACGTTTACCTGCAATACCTGGAATTTAGGATAGACGCCTGATTGCACCTTTTCAGTGTACTAATTTGCGGTAGTAAGTGGATTTTAGAAAAGGCATGAGGTCTATTTGGTGCCGGACGGCGTTTACCCCCCAGTATACCAACTTGGCTTGGAACCTCTTTGCAGATGATGTGCCGATTAGTTCTGTATGCATGCACGTCCGAAAATATTATGTTATTATCGCCTTCTACATCGCAAATATGTTCCTAATCTTATAGTCTGTCAATGTCACAGCTGATATTCACTGAGAGCCGTTCAAATATAGGTCGACCTTGGGCACTTCGGGTAGCCCGCAACAAGACTGATGTGTCAGTCCCACCCTCTTCGAGCAAACCCGTAGCAACAGCTTTTAACATCAGGAGAAATAGTAATAAGGAAGAACTTTATTCTTAGTACTGTTTTCTCATTTTCTTAAAAGGTCGTCAACAAGTGTGCCAAGTAGAGTATTTGGAAGGGCCGTTGAAAAATGATTCCACCCCATGAAAATATGTTATTTGGATTGAGTCACTAAACACTATGCAGCATAAGCGGTTTAAATGGCATAAGAAGTAAACGACAGCGATCCAGATTACATTCAACAACAGCACCTTATCGGGAAAGCCGCTGCAGGTTAAAAGCATAAAATATCTCATTAGAAGTGCTAATATAAGGGGTTAATCTCAGTATTTGTAATAAATGGACTGATAATCAGGAAAGCGTTTTAGGGCTATTAATTCTCAAAGTGTGAATGGAAAATTCGTGGTTTTGTGAAACTACCAAACGGAGTTCACCGAATATACCGAAATTCCCTTACGAAAACCTTCACTTCTAAATGGTTTTAACAGACAATATGGGAATCCTGGACCTTCGCTTTTATGAGAGTCACGTCACTACGCGAAATTTTTATCCCCGATGTGAAGCCTAGCTGGCTTTCCCGACTCCAAATCGCTGGGGTTCATTTGCACTGGTGTGAACAAGTTGCACTATATTGCGGTGGTATTGGTGAAGTAATATTATTTGGCGATTTTTGAAATGTAAAAATGCGATTGAACATTGGTGGCAGTCAATTATCATTAAAGTTATTGGGTCGTATGGTACAATACCAGTGTACCGAAGTCTTACTTCGTTGGATTTAAATTTGAGGAAATGGCTTCGATTAGCCCTTCCGATGCTTTCCGATTAACCCTTCCGATGCTTCTGATTAGCCCTTCCGACGCCGATATAGTAGCTCTTCTGTCAGATCGTCAAACTACACCATTTCACACTTACGCCTACGGAGTGCCCCAACGCCTGTGTTTTGCGCCGAAAGACCTAACAATACCCAAAGGCACTCCAAAAGACTTGCAAGGCTAGCATCAAAATTAGTAATAACGTTCGTCAAAGTGGTTGAGGACGGGAATATGGACATCCGCATAACATTTGCCCTGCTCCATAGTCCCGAGGGATTGGAATTAACCATAATGTTAGGATTGGTATTAGTGTTATGGTTAGTCACGGTTATGGTTAGGATTATGAGGAATTGTGTTGGGGTTAGGGCTAGCGTTTGGGTTAAAAATAGGACAGTGAAATAGGTACCCTCTGGAATTTGACGCGAGGCCACTTGACGTATGGGGAGTCCATATTGCCATGTCCGACCGAAAAACATTTCACTCAGTCGCCAGACGAAAAAATCCGATGCAAGCAAATAACTTGACTTTTGCGAATTTCAGCATTCGAACAAACTGACGTAGATCCGAAAACAGAGGCGCCAAGTCAACTGAAATGAAAGAGACACTTGACTTCGGCTCTTCTATTCAGGAACTCGGGAATTAAGAGCACAGTTTCTCCTCCAAATTTTGATACCACGATATAATGCGGAGACCTGCGTTTAACCAAGATCCAATGGTCTATTATACTACACTTTCACCCCATCTAATTTGACATCCGAGTATTCAATCCGCAGGCCTATTTTTAAAATCTATTGGTAATAATCTGCAGCAAGATCTCTGAGCCAGCTGAAGTCCAAAGGAGTATAAACGGGTTGATTGACTGTGCATGAAAGTTTTATTCGCATTTCGCTATTTGCTTGAACTATCATTGACACTTTGCATCACTGCCACTTGGCGAACAAAAAAACGCAAATTGTATTGCCTTCCTTTTTATAACAACATATACGTGCTGCCCATCTAAAGATACCCCACAAATACAACTTTTATTATTTAATGTGAAGCTTTGTCGAACAAAGGTTAAGCAAACTTTACTATTCAATTTGGCACTTCCAATATAGCTTGCTCCTGGGGTTGTCAGTATGCAACCGGAATACTACCTCGAGACGTCAGATCTCAAGATTATCCGAGTAAGTTTACCCCATTAATACTGTGCAAAATTATTTTGATTTAACTTTTCCCTTAAAGATCATTGAAAGGAAGCCAATTTATTTTATTCACCCAACACCCAGTCAACTTTGCCAAATGTAGATATCACAGTCTCTGGCTGGAACTGTCTGTTGCCTGCAGTTCACTTGCAGCGGTTTAGAGTTTGAATGCTGGAATGCAAGAAGGCCTTTCTTAATTTACGAGATTCCTAACGAAATCGCGTGTTAAAGTCAGTTAGTTCTGATTTCATTGGACCCTGCCCAAGTCACTGCAGTGAATGAAGCCAAAAGATGTGTTATTTCATGTAATTTCGGCAACTATCTAGACATTCCGTGTTAATGATGGCGATTGGAGCCGTTTTGATGAAACCCTACGCAAAATGCGCACTCCCTCCCCATGCAAACCATTTCGCTGCATGCAGACTGACCTCTAACTCCCACGTTATATCGCACACAGAAGAGACCGTCTGCATCTTAGGCGTCCGAGCAGTGAGTGTCTTCGGTAAGAGAACAGCTCGAAAATCGAACGACTCATTTTAGAGTCTTGTTTTGAGATGTCAGCATACGTAAACACCCCGGTGGGCTTTACGTCGCCGCTGTTCGTGGATAAAAGTATGGCATTGTGGCCGCGGGCTTAATAATAGTGAGGTTGAGATTAGCTTGAGACAGGCCAACAATCGGTTCACCGTGTGATCTCATTTAACGCTTCCGTGTGTTGACCGACCACACTGTTAAGTTGATATCAATGTTATGACACTAGACAGACGATGAGAGACGAGCTGAATCAAAAACAACACAGGACGGATCAACTCATGGAGTCGTGTAAAAGCCGGTTGGATCCCTTCACAGTAGGGACTATTAAGGTTGGCAGCAGACAGATGTTCAAGTCAACTATCCCCGCAATGTTGTCCCAGTGATCTCTTATACCGTCCTGGACATCTAAGCGTTTATTTCAAAGGTGATTCATTAGTCGGCTCCCCGCGCTTTAGTCTTTAGTGAAGTCGCCGATATTCTGCTGCGGATAAATTGCATCGATCACCAAAAAATCAACTGCTTCACTAAAGTTCATTGTAATCTAAAATGCGCTTACTCTAAATACTAGCCGTCCCTGTTTCGTGTACATAGTTATATCTGTCTTGCTTTCAGTCATGCGTTGGCTACTTCACTGTAACTGAGTATACAAGGAGCCGCTCGCACGTCAGGGCCAAAGTATAGTTCGAACTCTGAGAGCCCTCTTGCATTTTATACCGGAGCACTTTGTTTCATAAAGATTTTGCCCCATTCAAATGGCACTTTAGTGGTACAAGAGTGGGATCTGGTCGTGCTCGGAGGACGAATTCAAACGCTACTATCAGGCAATAAGTAGTGATATATAAGATTTGGCCTGTAGAACAAAAATGAAAAATGGATTTCTTTAACCCATCGATCAAAAGTTAAAAGCGAAAGTCGATTTCCAGCAGGAAAACGAGCCACCGAGACAACAGCAGAGGGAGCAAATCTCAGTGGTTTGCTGGTACTTGTATTTAATCTTTTATTAGTTCGAATGTGAAGGGGAATGTGCGAGGTTGCTGCAGACAAACAAATAGCTCTATATCATTGAATATTTTCAGTTCATCAAAATTTTCTGGTTAAACCTACTTGAGCATTATATGTTTACTCAGAATTGTTTCTCGGCAGTTTAACATCTTTTTATGCAACCTGGGACTCGCCGTACCTATGTTACGACATTCGCATAAGATAATAACCCCCCCCCCCAATATTTTATCTGCCAGAATATTGAGTGAGATAATTGTCATCAGAGAACCTAGCCTTTCTGGAGTGCCTGAAAGAATTTTGCACCAATACCTTACTCCTGATTTGCAATCAAGCACGATAAAGATCTCAAATGCCAAATCCGATGTGCAGATCCCTTTTGAGGGGCCCAGTGCGTATTTGGCGGTTGCATTTTCTGGGCCTGTTATGTAATCTTACACCCTAAATTATTCAAACGAAATGAAGGACCCTAAGGATTGTTCATTCGTGTTCGTTTGCGATTAGACCAGTCAAATAACCTCCATTTGAAACCCAATGTTCACATTCAGAAGGCTAAATGACGAAAACCGAAGTAGATATTCGCATAAATATTGCGAAACCTTTTAGAATTCACTTCCAGTGCATAAAAAATTGCAATTTCCGTCATTTTGGACAGTAACACTAAAATGTGTCAGCTTCATAATAACTGAAACGGCTTCGTCAATGTTCATTTCGGGCATTTAATGGCTAAGGGGTTTGCACACTTAGTTCTGTGACCGTAGGTTTCCTTAGAAATAATGGTTCCTTGTGTTTTATTCTTTTTTGTGTCTCGACAAGGAGCATTTGTAATGCCTAAATAGTTGCCCTGGGAAATCGCCTTATCTTCCACGGAGACTGATTCGGTTTGCACGACGATTTACTTTCCTAAGCGATGAAAACTCCGTCCTCCTGGTGTGCTTACACTTACCCAAAACTACCCGACAGTATAAAGTGATCCAAGGAACTGTTTCACCTAGTTGAAAATAAATATTTCCGATGTTCTCGCATAAGGAATTATGACTCGACTCTGTTTGAAAGTAGTTAAAAAATATGCAGCCGTCTTCAAATTGTTATTTCAGATTGTGCAGTACTTCAAAGATTTTATGCGAAATTATTCACTAATGTTGGGAGTCGACGAATCACAACTGGGGGCTTTGGAGAGGGTTTTTGAGCTGGAGACGCAGATTGCCAAGGTACGTGAGTCCAAATTCCGTTTTCGAATATGCTTTTTATGCGTGCTGCAAATGAAATTGAATAGCAACATTTGCAATCAGCACATTTGTGTTCCCTTTTAAATAATGTTGTTTGCCTAACGTAAACTTCCCTGCTTAGACCTTCAGCGGACGTTTTTCCAAGGTGACATCCACTCATATTCCTGCATTTCGAAAAGCAATGTTTAACTGTAACCCAAAATACAAACAATAGTACATTCACATTTTTATCGGCTAATCGGTTGTTAATCCGGATTTTTTATTTTGGCCTCTTGTAAAGTGTGGCAAAGCTTCTAAGTGAAAAAATCTAATGTCGATCTCACCAGCGAAACATCATTGGGACTACATGTGAAGGTCAGATAATGTCTTCTTTAAGTTTCTGTGATACGTACTTGAACACCGTTCGTGCTAATAACTAGACCCAGATATTGCTTCCCAGGTCCTATTAAATTAAACGTTTTCCAATTGGTATTTGGTTGTTGAATGCTAATTCATAAAGTCAAGACACAGATTTGAGTGTATCATGCAGGAGTGTTACAAATTGCATTTACTTGGGACAGTACGGGTACTATTACTCTTAATTGTGTCCTTTGAGATCCATAGTCTGGGATGTATTTTGCCAGCTTATTGTTGCCAAATATACCCAAGTTTGGTATGGCAATTGCTTAAAATTTTTTGACGTTGTAGCATTCGTTAATGCCGATATTCGATCAGCACCAGAACAAAATATTTTTTGATGCAAAACCATCATCTCCCCCTTAACTACCTGCTGGGGACACGCACGCACACATCGAGATACTGCCAAGAGAATGATGAAAATTTACCTGTTGTTTTTGACCGCGAAGTTTCATTTAGCCGGACATCTGTCTGGTTGCGATAACGGTGGCACGGCTGATCGACTCACCTTTTTGCTGTCAATGTTTTATACATCTACTGCCCACTACATGACATTGCCCTTAGGCATACTGTGCAAAATGTGTGGTATTTAATGCCTCTTTTGGCTGGATAGCAAAAAATAGTAGAGTGAGATAAATTATGAGTGAAGCCGCGAGAGCTAGTTTGTTGTGGGTGTTCTGATTACAGAAGGCATCATTTTTGTGCACTGGCGTGATTTCCAGAGTCATGGGAGACCCTCCGCTGCAGCAATCGTTAATGACGATATTCGATCAGCACCAGAAAAAAATATTTCTTCTGATGCAAAACCATCATCTCTCCCTGTAACTGTCCGTTGGGGACACGCACGCACCCATCGAGATACTACTAAGTGAATGATGAAGATTTACCTGTTGTAAACGATTTACTGATGAAATGCCACTTGATGTGACTCTGTAATTATCACCGTCAACTTTTGGACATAAGCTTACATAACTATTGTACTTGTTACTGAAATAAGCCAGACTGTCTGCCTGACTTGTAAAAGAAAGTAACCTTTCAAAACGGTTAATTACAACTTTTAATTAAGCTTTAAATATGAGAAGAAGTAATCTTTAAAGGGCCTGTTTTGACTGGATGGCAAAAAATAGTAGAGTGAGATAAGTTATGAGTGGGGTCGCGAGGGCTAGTCTGTTGTGGGTGTTCTGATTATAGAAGGCATCATTTTTGTGCACTGGCGTGATTTCCAGAGTCATGCGAGACCCTCCGCATAGGCAGAAATTCTTGGTTGAACGAAGCGAATGCAGTGAAACGCGCGGAATCCAATGACGTCGGCACGGTCAGATTTGGAGCCCAGACAAGAAATTGCGTAAATGTCCTGACTGGAGATAATTCCTTTCAGCCAGTGATGTCAAACGTCATGACATTTTCAATTTTCATAGCTAACTTAACGCATGGCACAACTGTTATTTCGCATGGCAAATCTATTGCGCAACCATACTTAAATCAGGATACCGAGGTTTCTGTTTTCTTCGTTTCGAGGCTTCGTATATTCTGGAATTTTAATAAATAAAATAAAAATGATAAACAATTTACTGATGAAATGCCACTTGATGTGACTCTGTATTTATCACTATCAACTTTTGGACAAAACCTTACATAAGTATTGTACTTGCCGCCGAACAAAGTGTTATCCAGCCCATTTTGCATTTACCAGAGCATGGAACCCCGCGCACGGCAAAGTATAGAAACAAATTACGTGAAACTGAATCTCACTGAACTCGCCGAACTTTGTCCTGTGGTAAGTCAAGGAACAGTTCAAGAAATCTTAAATACGTTATCATAAATGCCGATTCGTTTATTCAGAATTGCATTAACACTTTTGTTTTATTCTGATTTTCTTTGTGATCCTGTCGGTTAAACTGTAGATTGCTTAAATAAAAGTGAATCAGCTACTTATGAAGGTTTATCATGTCGGTTTATTGGCGTCCTTATTGAGCCTCAAAACAAAGCCAAGTCGGAGCTATTTTGCAGAAATTTATAGCAAATTGGATGATACTATGGTAGACTCTAAAATCAAAAGAAAGCATCCTAGGAAATGAATGTAACAAATGATATATTCTTACTTAGCCAATATATAAATTTTAGAAAGGTTTGCACGGTGTGCTTATGAGACATTTAATGCTATTTGGTTCTTTGACGAAGTTTTTTTGCTGTCCTTCTAGATACAGTGGGAAAGGCTACTGACAAACTTATTCAAAGATGTCAGTTATACTGTCCGAGAGACGGAGACGGTTATTATTGGAGATCGTTCGTTTTTTGAGAAACGGTGCAAGATTTACGAGGAGTACCTAAAGTCAGCAGATACAATAAAGTGCGTTGCAAGCCGGGCGACTTGACCCTGCAATTTGTGCATTTTATTGTCTATAAGGATGTTTCTCGCCATCGCGTAATACCCAAATTTTCAAATTTACAGCCGTGTATTGTTGCATTCCCCGGAGTGAAGTCATGAACGATGGTAATGCTCTCGACCGCATGAGACCAGGCTTTTCCTCGTTTTTTTCAGCCGGAAAAACAACTTAACAAAGTTACAGTCGGATATTTAGTTCTTAAAGGACAAGCGCAATTTTCAGGAGCGACGGATAATGCATGCTAATACTCGCAGAAAAAATTGAGGGCGAAAAATGCTTTTGAAATTGTTAGTAGTGCACGAACGTCTGGAGATTTAGACAACCAACCGTAATGGTGCTTTTGAAAGAAGAGGGTGATCTGTCTGAACTATAGCATGTTTTTTTCCAGGGAAGTCATTTTCGCGTATTTTACAAAGTCATTATGTTATCAGAAAACAGATGTGACTGGGGTAATCAACCACCGATTTTTAGACATAAATGTGGGCAAAGTGGCTCAAAGGTATAGTTTTGCCAGTTCTATTTTGGAACACTTCCTCTTCGTAAATACCGCCAGACATAGTCTGCATTTTTCGTAACTGCATATTCTAAGTCACAACACGAAAAATAAAAAATTACAAACGGCCGAGAAGTAAGGAAAGCTCAGTGGTCTGAGATGGACGGGAATTAATAGGCTCGGTCGGCGGTTCAATCCGCTTTCTTAAGACATGTTTTATGGTCCAATTAATCTGCTTTAAAAGTGTTTTAATACCCAAATCTTGTGTTCGTCCGTTGAAAATTACAACCTGGCCAATTGCCGGGTTTCTATACATTTTATAATCATCTAGATCTAACTTCCGGTTTATTAAGCCCTTTCTCCACTTTAACCCCTCAAAACGTTTTTTGATTACGCTTCTGTTTCGACAAAAAAAGCAAATTGCATGGACAGGAAAGTCTCGTGCTATTCCTAGCCCTCATGAAAGGCTAAAACCTCCCCCCATAGGTTCCTTAAAATGTTCCATTTAATATTTGCATTTGGTAGAATACTCCACGATGCGGCGGTCTGGCGCATACTGTGGTCCACCAGCCCATACATGCCAACTAGAGTGCGGAAGAAATTCGAGATCTATGAACAAGCCAACACAGGCGAGTCTCTCTTATCTGCCGAGTTGTTTCGACCACACTCCACTCGGCTGGACACGGACCTTCTTTTTGCAATATCGTCCTTTTTCGGACAAAATCGCTGGGTAGTGAGCATATATGTAGTGTCTGCTGTGCTAAACAACAGATGTATCAAGAAAGGACTAGCAACAAAAATAATTAGCCCCAGTGACGAATATGAAGGGAAGGCACTGAAATAAGCCAGACTGTTTGCCTGATTCGTAAAAGAAAGTACTCTTTCAAAAACGGTGAATTACGACTGTTAATTACGCTTTAAATATGAGAAGAAGTAATCTTTAAAGGGCAAGGTTCAGTGTTTAATGCATAATGAAAGGAAAAGTGCCTTTAAATATTGGGTAAATTGTTAATTATTTTGAGAAAAACTGTCTTTTAGGCCGTTCTAACAATTAAAAGTTACTAATTTTGTTTCGGGCAGGATCTTAAGGGACCTTAGGAAATCACTCCTTGTATTTTTTCTGTCAGTCAAAAATACTTCTTACCGAAATTATAGGATAGAAACAAAACAAACGCACATCCAGTTAGAATGCATAACCTTATCCCATATTTTAAAGGATTTTTAAGTCAACTCTTTAGCTGCAGAAGTCCCGGTGTGGGGAGCCATTGTAGTTGGAATTCCAGGTATCGCGAATACCTAAGTATGGCGGCATTTTGAGCAAGGTGGTTGGCTACTGTAAATTCAAACTTTTGTTTGTCGTTCACAACTGAAGACCTGAACCCACTAGGAGGAAGTAAATGAAAACAGACATTGAAAATTCGAACCTAAGTCGGCCGAAAATTTTAAGTGCCTACTAAAATTTAGTATGTATTTGTAATATAGAAAAGATGTAAGTGGATGTATAGAAAGTACACATCAGTCTCCTCCGATATATCTCGATGCCTGTAATTCGAACACTTAAGTCATTTCTACAGTAGATGTGCTAACTCATGAAATGTCAACCAAAATTTCGAAATGCGTTCTCGTTTCGAAAAGATCAATTAAGTAGTGTTGTAAAACTAATCATGATGCAGCATAAATCTATCATGATCCAGTTACCCCAGGGTGTCGGCTTTCGAAAGAACTTATTTTTGGCTGCATGCAAGATCTATACTCTGCAAAAAATGACTACTTAATTAGCATGCAATTTTCTCATTGATTTTCGATGCCCTTGAAAATTCAATTATATTTCATGGAAAACATGCATAAAAATATTCATTCTTTTACTTATTCGGTAGAAAATCACGTCTTCTTCCAATTTCATATTCAAAGAAGAGTATAATTTGGTTTTAAAAAAGTTTCTAATTGCGGGATTTTTTAATACCGTTAAATGGCCGTTCATGAAACGTCATGTATCTGCATTTACGAATGTGGCTTGTAAAGTTAACAATATTGCTCAAATCCACTGCTTTATTTTATGAACCTCATATGGTCTCCTCTAAACACCGTAGAGAAATGCATGCAATATTGTTAACTTTACAAGCCACATTCGTAAATGCAGATACATGACGTTTCATGAACGGCCATTTAACGGTATTAAAAAATCCCGCAATTAGAAACTTTTTTAAAACCAAATTATACTCTTCTTTGAATATGAAATTGGAAGAAGACGTGATTTTCTACCGAATAAGTAAAAGAATGAATATTTGTATGCATGCTTTCCATGAAATATAATTGAATTTTCAAGGGCATCGAAAATCAATGAGAAAATTGCATGCTAATTACGTAGTCATTTTTTGCAGAGTATAGATCTTGCATGCAGCCGAAAATAAGTTCTTTCGAAGGCCGACACCCTGGGGTAACTGGATCATTATAGATTTATGCTGCATGATGATTAGTTTTACAACGCTACTTAATTTACCTTTTCGAAACGAGAACGCATTTCGAAATTTTGGTTGACATTTCATGAGTTAACACATCTACTGTAAATATGTGCGAATTGTACTGCTTCTGACAAGGTTTGCAGTTTTTGTTGATCACACTTCTCTTGGGAAATTGTAGGCGTTCGAGAACAGCCCCAAAGATGGCTGACATGTGTACGCAGTACGGAGGAATTCTTTGGAATGACGATTGCCCGAAAGTTTGTAGCGGCACACTTTGACGTGACAAGTAAAGAAAAGGTATCTACGATGCTTTTTACAGTCCGAACTACGTCTCTTTCTTCGGTGCATTTTTTACGGTTATGTGACTAATATTACTTTCAGTGCCATGTCGGCGGCATAAACTGGCCGTAAGTGCCGTCGAAAATGCTGGGACAAAAACAACTTTAAAATAAACTCTATTTCGGACAGAAGTGGATACAGGAAGAAAAGTCTTTTAAGGGCTTTTTTTTGGTTTACCACACCTAAGCAATCGTTTTATTACATTGCCTCTATCTTAGCCTACATTTTTCGTGTGTGTATGAAAACCTGTTACAAGATTTCAAAGGTTGATTGTGTAATTTTTAAAAATGCTGGAGGTGAGTGCCTGCGGCTGTTGACCATGAAATTTGGAGATATTAATCCCATTCTACAGAATACGTAGGGAAAATTTAGATTGCCCAGTTACACAGTGATGTCCAATCGCAGTCTTACCAAGGGTCAGATATGTGGCCGTATGCTGTGTCCAGGGTAACGTTCGATGATATAGGCCGTTTGTGATGCTCTATTTTACAGGGAAGTTGAAATAAATATGAAACTGTGCTGAAAGCAACATTAAGTCGGCCTAACAACTGCCTTCCATTATCGAGTTTAGCTTTTTACGTTTAAACCAAAAAACCTATTTAGAATATGCAGTGAAGTTGGTTGAAAATTATGAGTTGGATCCACATCTTTGGGATACTTTAGCAGACCTGAACCAATTGTAAGCTTTTTCCAGTCCAGTAGACATACTGTTATGAAACTCCAAAACGCACAGATAAAAGTGCGTTTAAACCCAAACAGGATAAATTGATTAACTTTATCCCGTACTTGACTGATTAAGGCATAATTTAAAGGTGTTTTCTTATGTTGACTATTTTGCCGATGGCGCAGAGGAAGAAATCCTACGACATTTTAGAAATACTGGTTATCTTACCCTCCACGAGATCCACTAGGACCCGGTTAATGAACCTTCTACAAAAAACTCTGTAGTGAGAAGCTCCGTAAAACCGCTCTTCGTGTGGATAGAGAAATCACCTTGCCCATTCTTGCATCCTCGACTTGAATATAATTTGCAATAATGGAGTTTTATTATGAAATATAAGCGTTGTTGAATAATAGCGCCATTTTATGGGCAGTTCCTGCGTGCTACTCCTTTAGGAGGGGTGAGTACTGGACCAATTCCTCAAATGTCTGCGGGTAGACTTCGAGGCAACTGTCCTCTTACTACTCCTTCGGGTTATAATCAGCATGGAGGATTAACATCATTAATATTATTCTATGGATCTTTGAGTTTTTCAAGCACAGCGTTAATTAACCTATTGCAAAACAAGCGGTATAATTTTGTGTTACTGCTTTCACTTAAATTAGCTAAATTGAGCACTTTACCAGAGGCGATATTTATAGAGTTTGGATCCTTGTTAGTTTTTTTGCATTTTCTACTATTATATTACTCGAAATTTTGCACTGTTATTATAGGGAAGTTCGTTCTCTACATCAGCGCCTGCATTTAGTGTTTCTGTTGCAAAGGACTGAAGCAGCGGGTTCTTTTTAGCAATTTTAACAAACATCTGGCCCTATTTTGGAAGTTCCCGCGTGCCACTGCGACCTTTTAGGAAACCGGTAGTGAGATTAAATCGGCTGTAAATTATCTCCTTCATCGTCACCTTTTTGGCGTTTTTAGGCAACAGAAATGATTATGCGTATCAAAATGGCCTTCAAAAGTTCCTTTTACCAGGTGGAGTGGATGGATGCAGAAGCAAAGAAAGGAGCTGAAGAAAAGGTAAATACCCTGTTTGTCACAATTTACCCGTAGGTTGACATGATGGGTGACTCGATAGGATATCCTGAAGATATCACGGACATTGAAAAGGAGAACCGCCCATTTGTGGCAGTGGTAGGCTTTATCCCCCTTTTCCTTTTCCGTTCTCCAATTATATTGGTATACGCCTAAGGCGCATCCCAATCTGATTAAATTGCGCACGCCACATGCCCATGAATATCTCCAAATGCCTTCTGGAAAGACTTGATAAATCCCTCATTCGCTCGACTTGAAAATTCAATTTTCTGCAAAATTTCGTTATCATTGGGGTTAGTAAAGGGAAAAGTGAGCATAAAATTGTTTCCTTCCCTGCAAAACGCTATTTCTCCAGAAGAAATTTGACGGAGGCCAAAATGTCCTAAAAGGAAAAATTTGATGGCATCACCAAGATCTGTGGTCTCACAGTCAGCAGCTAATTGTCTTTGCAAGGAAATTACTCGGACTTTAAACCTAAGCAGAGTTTTTAGAAAAATGGCTGACAAGTCGTAATAAATTTAAACATTCTGGATATGAAAGCACTATTTTAGGGCATAAATATGAACATTTGATGTTTTATCTAAAATATATCATTCATGGGTTGATAAATAGATCTAACCTGGGAGCGGAGAGCATGCTTAATGTACCTTCTAAGTTTCGCTAGCTGGAATTTGCAACATGTGTGCTATTTCACGAAAAGTTAACCGAAATTCTGAAATGTGCCTTTGCTTCGCTAAAATTTCTTAAGTTGCGTTTTAGTATTCATTGTTGTGCAGCGATTTCAGCATAAATGTCTGTAATGGGCTGTTTTATGAAGATGCGCGGATTTTTAAATGGTGTAAAGATGTTTTCAGATACAAGCGCTCAACACACTTTTGCTGGAGACTTCGAAGATGATAACACCCATAAAATGAAAAACATCCGATCATTGTTTTACCGCAAAACACTCTAAGTTCTTTAACACATGATCAGCACTGGTTTGCATTTCTGTTGTAGACCTCATTGAGTCCAGATACATTTTTGGATAACAGCCTAACTCTGGCCCGTTCGAAGACCCTTGTTCTTCTGCAAAAGCTTTTCAACGACAGTCTAAAGACGTAAGAAGTGGTTTTTAACTTGTTATTAGATATGATCAGGGCTTTGCCTACAAACTGCCCTAGCACTTGTAACAAGAATTTGATTGTGTCCTTTCTACGTAGACCTCAAAATAATTAGAGGAAACTTTGTCGTTGACCTGTTTGTTAAATACTTTAAAACCACGCGAAGTGACCTACTCATAAATCGGTATATCGTATTGACCTTGCTTAAGAACGAAATCCCTACCCAGAGACTTTTAAATAAAACAATGGATAACACTCAAAAGGCACATATCTAGTCAAAACTCTTTGGACGGTTTAAATGATCAGTCCTGCCTTCTGAAGTTATCACGAGGACCCATTGACTAAAATCTTCCAGAAAGTCTGCGAACTCGGAGCATTTTCGACCCTACAGTTGATAAAACCGTAGTATCACGCTTGTGACTGCAGAGTTTGACACCGTTGTTGTCTCCGCCGGTTTCCAATGTCTGGTGTTGGTTTCTGGCGCTCTTTGCCCGTAGGATAGTTTTGGCATCCATTTTTCAATTTTTTTCCGCCCCATTTTGCTTTGTGCGAACACGTGGCATGGATACGCGACCAGACAAAGCAGCCTCGGTTTGGACTAATTGGTGGACACCAAAATGTAGGTCAACGACAGAGCTGCCGTCGTTCCTCTACCCCGGAGCCCGTTATCAAACTATCCGCTCCGGCTTTGGACACCGTCAGCCGATGGGCTGCCTCCCCGGATGACGCATCAGAATAATAACTGACATTCCACTGGCATGCCAGCTCAGCCACCTGCCCTGCTACGAAGGCAATAGGGCTACACTTGACAGAAAGCACATCCATTCAACAGCTTTCCTGTCCGTCCAAATTTAGAATTATTTTTCGGTTTTGTCATCGGAAATTTTGAATTGGAGTTATTACCGGTCCAGATAATAGGGGGCTGCGGCCATCATAGACATAGCAACTTCGCTATACCGTATGTAATCTGATTCCGTCTTTACTATTTGACCCGGATAAGTGGCTGACGCATTTAAGCGGTAACCCTAGCAGCCGTAGTTTATCGTAAGTTCAAACACCCTATTTCCAATAGGGACGTTATACCAAGCCAAATTTGCAGAGGAAGCCAAAGATCCTAACGGTCCTTGCCATTCTGTGAAATTACTAATCCGCGCAAATCCGAAAAGCTCAATAAAAAGGAGACAATAAAATTAGATATTCCATAAGTAAGTTTTTGGTATACATCTGATTTTCTCTTCCGTAACGCCGAAGGTTTCATGCAGGTCAGTAGACTGACCATCCTTTGATGAAAGGGCCCTTAAACGTCAGCTTCGGATTCAGAGACCGGTTCTGCGACTACAGTTTTCAGCATCCTGCTTTTAGCCTTAACGGGCCCTTTTTCCACGTCTTCGAGTTATAACTGCCTTCGTGTCCGCCGACCAAAAATAAACCGAGGGACACAGAGTTCGTATGCCAATTCAGAATCTGCTTACTTTGCATGACCCGCGTTTTCGCTACAGTACTTGGATCTACAAAATTAGTGGTGTGTTACGCCTTTGTTATTCCCCTAGTTGACCTATGAGAAGAAATACAGTCAAAGACAGCGGTGCGACACATGCAGACTTCTTGCTGAATGTCAGCAGGAAAGACATTTAGTTTTTCCCTTCTCCTCCGGTTTTAGTCGAACATTTGTTTAACGAAACAATCCGGTTTGTCAAACAGGTGATATCCCTTGTTTAAGATTTGCTCAGCCTATACCATCGTTGGAAGGACTAGGTGCGTGAGATAGTTTTTAAATCTGTAAAAAAATTGACACAAATTAGAGACCAATATTTTCTCATCTTACTGCTAAAACGGTGGGTTTCACGAGACATATTAGGTCCTCAGTGGTAAAACGGATTTTTACAGGGTTTATAATTTAGTATAATAGCAAGTCCGAAGTGCGTGTTTAGCCCATGGACCTCCAAAGTGGTTGTTTCTGCCAGGTACACCCGTCAAAGTCACACCCTATTGGACTACAGAATTGAGTTTAACCAATCGGGTCAGTCCTCCCTTCCAAGGTTTGGTTATCACTTTTTAGGACTTCTGTTACTGATTGGGACCTCACGTGGTCAGTTAAAGTTTTACTTTTTTACTTGAACTAGTCAAGAGGTCAGTGAAGTAAAATATGTTTTTTTCCGGAAAGTCGCTACTTCAGAGTTACACAGGAGTGGCGTGCTCCAAAATCTTGACTGAAAGTACTTGGTGGGTGGCTCAACGTAATGCTTTTCAAATCCATTGATCTTAATTTGATTCTGTTTTTAGAAAAACCATTTCGGGGTAGAATATTTTTGTCTTTGTGGTTCGAAGTGTCAGTATATAAATCTGTTCTGCAAATCTGTCTTCAATGCTGGCGATCAGGGCATTTTTCATTATCCTTAAAAAAGCCCAAAGCAGGCCACATAAACATTCATTCTTTTTAACTTTTCGACATTCACGATTCTCGGCCAAGGTTTCCGGGACAGATGTTTCTGTTGCCAGACGCCCGCCCAACATTTCATCAATTCCGTGTTGTTATAGCGGAAAGACTGATGAGGACCTTACTCGAAGTGAGAGAATAACACTTCTGAAGGGGTGAAAACGATATCAGTCCATCCACATTCCAATATCAATCAGTTCATGATTTTCGTGTATAACAAATCACTTAATGCAAACGGACTGCTCGAAACTCAAGATGCTCCATGTTTGGGCTACAGTTTATTAGCTTGTATGGTATTTTTGATACTTTGCCTAACCATGTGCAATATCGGTAGGCTGTCCATGCAGCAAACCACATACAAAAGTATCCTTGTAATTATTTGGATATATAGTATTTGTGGAATGAACGATAATATCTACCACAATACGTCAGGGGCCACAATGCGCTCACATCGTATTTTGTTGTTTGATAGCATAGTAACTAGTGCCAAGTAATTATGTTGAACTTAGAGGCAATCCTCGGACTGCGAGTTTTCGTGGAACAGTGACATTGATTGCTGAAAATGTTGCTGGAGATAGCAGTGAAGAACTGCCCCCAGTCTTGAAGCTCGATTTATTTGAGGTGTATGTCTACAAAGCTTCTGTACTCAAAGTTGCCCTATCATCAATCCTAATGACTTTTCGACAAGTCCAGCAAGTTACAATGCAGAAATTGATAATCTACACATCGTTTGTTGCCTCGGTTAGGTGGGAGATGGCTCCACATGTCGTTAACGCTTTCTACAACCCACGAGAGAATCATATCTACTTTCCCGCCGGAATTCTTCAAAAGCCCTTCTACGACACCTACTATCCTCTGGCACTGAACTATGGAGGCATCGGTGTGGTTGTTGGCCACGAAATTGTGCATGCCTTCGATAGGCAAGGTTAGTTGTCGTTTCGGATTTTGAGCCATCTTACTTGTTCTTTAATAAATATTTTGAGGGGGTTTATATAAAGTAGGGCTGTTTAAGAAACTGAGGATGATTAAATGAATTGACACGGCGAAGAAAACAAGATATTTTACGAGATGCTCGATAAAATTGCCAGCCAACTTTTCGCAGGTGCTTTTATCTGTTTGGTTTCAAGTGTCTTGTGTTGCGAAATTCCAATCGCCACACTAGGCAAGCCGATGGGGGACTGATTATAGTCGGGCACTTCCTTTCCAGCACAACTAATAGCTCGTCTATCCTACTCGCGATGAGCACCTCTATGTTTCTTCTCAGTGACGCGACACGGATCAGTAGTTGCTTAGACAATTTCACCGCCGATCCACCAACCTCGTCAATCTTTACTTTTTGCCTCGATACAGTTTAGCGACTAGTAGATGAATTATTTTACTATCCAGGGCCTGCTGGGTGCGCGTGCAGCCAGATTCCTTTTCGTAGCTTTTATTTAGGACCCCGTATCGATGACATTTGGCGTTTAGTGAATACCTGCTTGTTTTATTGCTGTATTCTATGGTTTCGTATGTTAGCATGCGGTTTACTCTTCTAATGCCTTCTCACCTCCTGCGATTCTGCTAGTGCGTGATAATTCACGACCGGATAACATCTCACTTAAAACTGAAAAACTAATCTCCCATGGGAGTTCACAATGATCTGAAGGTAATTGGTATAAATTCACCCCAATAAAGTCTTTTCTCGGTTGGTGCGTAAAGAAGGAAAACAAGAAAAACCAATTCTGATGCTTACAGTGGCTGATTTTTGCATTTGTCTCCCATCGTTTTATTATACCAAGTTTTTGGCATTTTTAAACATCACGGTTTGCCTGCAGACGGACATCTATGCAGTATCAAAACTAGGCATGTTTGTTAATTTGGTCCTCCGTTTAGCCTCGCCTCTGATACACCGTCTGAAGTAAAGAAGGTTCACCGGAAACATGGTTTCATTTATCCCGACTTTTGAAATTATGTGGAACGTCATCTCTAGAAATACCAACAGAAATAATCTAAGTTGAATTCAGAAGGCATTTATACCAAAGAAACACCAGCATTGTAAGACTTTTGCGAGAAGGATATCAGTATGGCGGTTACTTGAATTTCCATCCTAGATACAAGTTAAGATTATAATTTCCTTTGAAAGCATTGAGTTAAATCCTTTTAGATTGCCTCCGATGTTTCTATCAATATCCATGTTTTGTGTTCATTGGTTCAACAGTATAGTTTTTTAACTCTTGCGCCTGTCAAGCGAACAGTAAGAAGTGTTTAATACGCATATATTCGTGGGAGTTCACCATACAGAAAACGCGGATGCCAACCGAAAGCCCAGTCACGTGTTCCGGCCATTTTCTGCGACTGCAAGAAATTTCGCTCCCCAGTGCATGCCCGACGTCCCCCATGTGGTTTCTGGTCTAACTCCATGTTAAAAATGAGAGTCATTACTTCTTCTAAAATTATTAAACGAACCTGGCGCTATGAGACTAAAACCGGACATGTCTGTGCGCTCCCCACATTTCTGCAAGCAGTTTTTGGTTATCTCGTGGCAATCCAGGCCTTAACAGCCGCTACCCTGAGCCCTAATGTACATTTTTTTGCTTACCACCATCGTGGTATTGCCACACTTTTTGTCCAACTGCCTGTCGCGCAAAGACTCGCCGCCTTTACTGCGAACATTTCCAGACTCTCTGATCTTCCTTTCTGACGGTCTGCAAAAGGAACACACGAACGCGTCTGAAGGCAATACTTGCGCCTGCAACTCTCGAATTTACTCCTACAAATTTATAAAAGCACTCCACGCCACCGTAGCTGTCGCAGGCAGGATGTAACCCTGTTCGCATACGCTCTCGCCTCGCCAGCGGTTCTGCTCACTGAAATATCAGTTGAGGCATCTGCGGAGTGCAACCCCCCTTTTGGCCTCTTCCATCTTTTCCAACGAATTAGACTTAACTTTTTGTTGTGGCGCTTAAGGCACGTTCAACCCCTTAACTGTCACATCATCGTTACCAAGATTTCGTTACGAAAATGTGTAAAATATACCGCCCGCATTGTTGCTTCTGTCACCTCCGGCGATTGCTTCTCGTGTGAACTCAGCAGCTCGGAAAAATAAGCTGTTCTCCTTTCGTTACTTTATCAAAATATGGGAGTGGAGCATTTACTTCTCTGCATCAAATTTCCTGTTTTCCGGCACGTTCGTGTTGTTTTTACAAAATCCTTCAAAGGTTACGACTGGTTGCGGTCTGACATCCTGCCTGGTCTATTCCGCCTTATTAAAGAATGACACACTCTTCTAGTGCGTATCGAATTAGATGTTTTTGCTATTAACAGACGTAGACGTATTTAGCGTCCACCAAAAAATTCGGAGCTAGACTTAAGCTCACAATCCACAAAAACACCCGAATATGGTACAAAAAATGTTTTTCATCGGAGCATGGTTCACTTTAATTACGTCCTCTGACGAAGAAAAATCCCCTCTTCGGGATTAAAATAGTTAGTATTTGTTGTCGTAACCCGATTTTATGATACGAAAAATGGGACTTATAGGAAAGGGTACTTTGTCTGCTCATGAACTAGGCAATTTTGACCAGATTTTGCACAAGGTGCTTAAATTGTTATATTTTTTTGTCGCATCTAGCAGAGACGAAATTTAACTGTCACGTTATACGGCAAGTTCATCGGTTTTCTTGAAAAGGCAGGATTTTATTTATGTACATTAGGGTTTTATGAGACAGGCAATCCCCGAGAGAATAGCACCCTTTTATTTAAATTTATACTGATGCACAATACTCAGTACGGAATGTATAGACAAGAAGTATAAAAGTAAAAACGCACTGTTTTTTCCGGGAGTCCATAGAAACGAATAAGACATGAAGTGGATTGCAAACACCCGGAAATTGGTGTTCGTTGATACACAAGGAATTTTGCAATACTTAGCAGTGCTGAGTTCAAAGAGTGAAACACCGTCTTGAGCTGGTGGTCAGTAGAAATTTTTCAGGACGAAGTTGTAATGGGGGTCTGGGAATGCAGAAAGCAATCACATGTAGAGGGTACACAGCAGATGCACGGATGCCTGGAATGACCTTTCTGGCATATTTGCCTTCAAGCGCCTGTAAGGGATAATGATGAGTTTCAAGGCAAAAGAGAACGAGTACTTTCCTTCATGCAGTCAGTCAAAGGGACTTCAACTTAGTTTTAGCCATTTCGTTATTACTTTACACGCCATCGGTCAATCCTTGAGTCATCTCTATTCTGCTTAAGTTGTTTTCCGATAGGGAAGATTTTATCATCTGCGATGATTGAGCGAAAACAATCGTTAGATTTGGGGGATTTTTCCATTGCACAAATACTTTTCTTATTCCAAGGCGCGTTACTTTTTCTGTGCTTCTTTAACATTCATAAATTTCAATTAAGCAGCAATTCAATTCAAGCAGCATTCTTCATCTCACACTTTCTTCTGCTAAGGAGTACTCTTTAAAGTTTTTGGCTTGGAAGCAGTGATTCACAAATCAAATGGCTTGTGGGTCACAGAAAATTTTATCGTCGAACATCGAGCACGAATTTCCTGATGAAAGGATTCATAGTGGGAGAGTGAAGCAGGGGAAATATTTTGTCGAAATGAGCAGATAAGGCTGTTGATCAAGTGATCAATTAATGAGCCTTCAAAGGAACCACCCTCCACTTGGTCTCGGTGCTACCGCCTTTTAAAGTTGGAATTAAAGCGTGCGGACACTATTTAAAATGCCCTATTTTCATTGTCACTGGGGCCTTCCATCCTATAGTTCACAGGATCGAACTCATAATTTTCAGCACAGTTTTTCACGTGGGAATAGAAACTCTCGAGTCGACTGAAGAGGAATATTGCCTCATGAAAATGGCTTTTTGAAAATGTCGCCTGAAGAGATATTTTGTCTTGCGTTTGGCGCATGTTATCGCCCAGCCAATCTCAAGGACTGCAATTTGCGAAGAATCGTTGTACTATCTATGGAATTGGAAGAGACTGCCGTGGTTCCCTCTATGCAGTTTTCTTCTTCCCATCAAATTCGGCTGCGCGGCCGATAACTGCGTAGCAGTATGATAATTGCACCTGTGCTTGTCGTAAATGTCAAACTGTGCTGGCCGATAATTGTGCCAGCTTGTGATGGATGCACATGCGTCTGTTTTATTTTGTTTAAAGACCTGAAATTTACGGTCTTCCATTTTACTATTTATTTTTTTCATACTACCAATTTTATAGTCCTTCTGGACTTCTGTGATATCAGCGATCAGAGATGGATAGTTGAGAAAATACCCGATATATCAGACGGTGATTTTATCTAGCCTAATGTTGACAGTTCTCAGAAGTTCAGCCTGTAATTCTTATTTATTCTTTCTTAAGTGCATGAAGTTCCCTGGACGATACTTTAATTTTATAGGTGACTTCTGCCAAAAGGACCCTATTATACATGCATATATATAAGATTTTAGACTTTTTGTGTTCTAAGCTGCCGTCCAGACATCCTACCGGTGTCCGAGGTACTCCTTTACTGGCATGGTAAATTTTCGGAGTGCTTGCATGACCTCGGAACAATTGTTCTAACCGTCTTTGACAGGTCTGTTGGAAGAATGCAAAAGTAGTCTTCAGGGGGAACTTGTCGCCTGTGTGATTGAGATACTGACGCTTTTGCAATGTTAAAAAACGTGACATCTTTTCGCATGCTGCAACGTGCCTGGATCCCAAAAGGAGTTTCCACATTTGTTCCTCATAATTCTGCCGAAAGACAATGACCTCTTTACGCGTTTGCATACACAGTGCCAACGTCGAGAATGACGCGAGACATCGAAAGGGATATTACTTATTTATTTGTCGTCGAGTCATCCACCTACGTTCTGTTCCAGATTTAGATAAATCAGGAGTCCAACTACTACAATGCAAGTACAGCACGATCCTATGTGGCAAACTGGGATTCTGGACGTCACGCAGTACCATAAGTCACAAATTTCAAGATAAACTACGCTACTTTAGATAAATCAATAAAATATGGTAAACAGCATAATCTGACCGGTCGTGCAGCGTTTTCTTGTTGGTAGGGTAGCCAGTATGAGCGGAGTTAGTCTTCGCACTTACGAAAACCGACGACGACAGTTCGATCGTCGATGTTTGCCGTGTGTCCCACAACGAGCTGGCTTGGGCGCGAATTGGTTTATACCGACAACAAATTTGCGCCGCAACCAGCACACTCTCCTCACTAACACACCAGAGCTCGCTGTCAAGACAGACTCAAGAACAAAGGTGGTGTAGGGTGCAGTGGTCCGGAAAGCTAAACAGCTCCTGTACGTGCCTTTCACGCGCCTGACCAGCGCATGATGGGCCAGGTTTTCAAGAAAACAAAAATGAGGCGACTCGGATCCCAACTGTCTGACAATGCTATAAAGACCACCCTAAGAAGGAGCCATTTCAGACTAACACTCTGTCCTGATAAAAGAACCGAGTTAACAGGTCAGCTGACAGCCTTTCAAACCACGGCTTTTAGCCCACCGTGATAGTTTAGAAGTGGCTCAGACTGTATGTTGGGGAAGTTGAGTCGAGTGCCGTGGGGACGCAGTCCCCAGAATCATTCTCACTCCCTTTTCCCACTCCCAGGCATCAGTACTTTGTCCGAGCCGGTCAGTTATCTTTAGCGGGGATTGCGAGCAAGTGGCTGGCGCGACGTAAGCCGGTGCGTAGGCGGCCCATCACGCTGCTCATGTGAAGCATTTTTTATGAGTACGCAAACATAATAGCGCGTGCTTACTCCCTGAGTATTCCCTTATAGGGTTCAAGTCACAAAACCCAGTTGCGTGAGTTTTATCGCTTGACGTAATAGTTAAGGATTTCGCTCACCCTTTCTTTGGTTCGGGTGATTCATGAGCATTGTAAACAAACAGCATTTTACGGTGGGATTTGAGTAATAAACGAAAATCGCAAGTTCCATATTTTGGATAAAAGCTGGTTATCAGCATCTTCTGTTAGCAGATTTAAGTACTAATGGGGCACTTTTGAGTTGGATGCTTTTTATGGGTCAAGACAGGACATCAAAAAGACATTTTACTTTTTAGTTGCATGCAGTTGTAATTAGCACAAACCATGATGCGATAAACACATAGTGAATTCAGGTATTTTACGTTTTTACCTCTTCACTGTTGTTTCCGAAGCAAAACACGTTTCGCATTGTAAGACGTCACCTTGGTTTTACTTTCTGCCCTTGAATCCCAGGAAACGATGGGCAATACAATTAAAACAACGTTTATAGCCGTCGAAAGCCCTTAATTAGGTTGTTGGAAGGTCACCACTAAACGTTTGTCATTTTGAAGTTCGTCGGAACTTCTTATCTGAACTATAATTGTACTGTATGCTAAGCCTAATGCATAATTGTCGTTAGGTTATTTTTTGTTCCATAGTTACTGCATTAAAATCGAGTTTGCTTTTCCAAATGATTTTTTACTATTGAGCGGATTTCAAAGTTACCCAAAATGAAAAAACCCTGTCTTATCTAATAGTGAGAAGATTCTTTCTAAAATCACCTGGGAAATACGCCGTTTATTGTAATTGCACTGCTGTTTAAAGAGCAGAAGATTATTCTAAAAGCTTGGCGACGAGGACAAGACACCAGAATTTGTGCTGTAAGTGGGCTTTTCTGAATTTCGTTTAAGGTTTATAGCAGTCGGATAAGTTCCGTCCCATAGTAATGCGACACTGACGAATAACGCGCCACGTTGCGTTAGTTAGGCAAGTTATATCACAAATCAAAATATTCTGACAATGATAAATGGGTCTTCTTTGGTGGATATACATATGTATGGCATGCAGACAAATTATGTGAAATTCTTTAAGCGCTCTTTTTGATCAAAATCCTTAGGCAAATTTATTTTTATTAAAAGATTATTTCTGACATTGAACTGTAGGCTCGACTTATTTAACATAGACTTTTGTTAACTTTTCCCGTGCTTACAAAGGAGGATGTTGTAAAATAATGTCGTAACCATTTGATATTGCACTTATCATTAGATTTTATGAAAAACAAGATAAAGTCACTTATATCACAGAAACCGTTGTCTGGACAATATGATAAGCCTCATATGCACAATGTTTGAAAAATACAGTCGCATTTTCCATGTAAAGCCTTGTAAGATTCTTGCCAGTAATTCCCTTTCAACTTTTCACCTCAACAAATTACAATCCAAGCTAAAGTTTGCAACCGGCAAGTAAGCGAGCTCATTTTTATCATACTGATATTGGGAAAACATGCTACGTAATAGGGGAAATTGTTGGTAATAGTTGCCAAATAGCGTCACTGTCATCTTGCACGTGTAAGTTTTTTTGGAATCTAAAATTTTATTTGTTACTCAGACTTACTGGTATAAGTGAGAATGGTTGCTAGCTGTTTAAAGAACACCCATTTACTGCAAAAAAATTTATTTATTAAAAAATATGAACTAGTAGTGCCATTATTTCATCGTTTCTGTATTGGCGAAATTCGACCTCCAACTGGGATACGTCGTCGTGTCAAATGGCTGAACTACTCTTTTATCCGGAGAGAGTTTCTCTAAGTCAGCGCATTAATTTCTGAGGAAATTAAGAAAAACTGAAACTACGTATCTGCATTCGCTAACGTTTTAAGCAACAATGTCGCTCTTAATACGACAATCAGTTCGTGAATGTAAGATCTAAAAAAGACTATTGCCATAAATTATTAAATTATAAAAACCTGCACCATCACAGATTTTTCACACTTTCTCGCGTCAACACAAGTTAAATTAGGCATGGATCTTGCAATCAAGTTTGATTAGTTCTCCCTCTCTCAGTGGAAATTCAGTGTGCGACACTCCTTTTAACACTAGTAATGATGTAAGCAACGAATTCAGTCGAAAAACTGTTGGTCAAGAAATGCATAGACCCATCCCAGTATTACACATGAGAGGTACTTGGTTTAGGCCTCATTTTCAAGCGTCTGGAACGAGTCGATCAGTCCCTCGACCTTGGTCGTGGTCATTCGTTGAAAATCTTTATCGACATTTTCCTTTGAGGTTTATCTTACCCATTAATGTTGTATTCAACCGTTCCGCCTCCTAAACTCATTTAAACGGAATTTTTAGGCTCAAAGTACGATGCAAAGGGCAACCTGCGACAATGGTGGAGCGAGAGCACTCGAACCGATTTTGAAAAGAATAGCGAGTGCATGATCCATCAATACGGTAACTACACGGTACAAGGAAAGAATGTGAGTACTGTTAGATGGTCCTCCTGTTCCCATACTTGTCATTGAGTCAGTCGAGTGGTTGAGAAGTGGTCGAAATAATCTGTGCGCAACCTACAATCTAAACAGCGACTACTAAAACAGTTGTTTCAACACGCCTTTCCTAACAGAAATAGCTGTCACGGCTCTTATCTGCGTCCAAAAACGGCAGTTGAGTTGCAGCGAAAATGCGTTTTCAACAAGCCTTCAATGGAAATGCTGGAATATATCTTCGGATTTACGTTAACTAGTGCACTTTTTCTAAAACCTTTTCCTGTGTAATTATTAAACTCTGCATCTGGGTAAAACGCTAGATGCACAGTAGGCAAATAAGCCTTCATGGCGGAAAAACGCGGTGAGCTATTTGGCACCGGAAGCTAAAGATCGCCTGAGAGATAGTATTTCTGGCCATGTTGTGACTAGATATAGGGGTAGAATAAAAAGTTAGAATTGAAGAATTCTACCCTTACTCAATGCGGCTATGGACAAGTCTGATCAAGATGACGTCATTCTACCTGCGCTGACCTCCAACAGCCGAGTTACTTTGCTTGGTCCACCCTCAACCGACAACGTCCGAATACGGTAAAACCTAGGATCAATTCAAAACTGTGACAAATTTGTATTGAGCCTGGTTTGAGTGGACCTAATCATCCTTAATGTTTAAATAACAGTGTCGGTTTTGGTGCAGTAACGATGAACTAATGAAATGGTCGACGAACGGCATGGTCAAACCATCATAGCCATGCTTTTGAACGACCTGAGATGACTATGCGACTTTGTTACGATAACAGGACTGATTACATTAGGGATACTTTTTTTATATGTTTACCCACGCCGAAGCTTCGCAGTAGAAACTACCAGCTGCATGCTTGTTAGCAAAATCTTATCAATAGTTTTGATAGCAAAGGTGTGAAAAGTCAAAGGCTTGCTTCACTCATTTATAATGATCCGTATGGGCATCAGGCCACGATAGGGAAGCCAATCACGAAGTAGACACACGATAGTTCGACCATCGATTTCGATTATGTCCACCGTGTGTCCCACAGCAGGTGGTGGGATCAGGGACGGTGACTTGCGCAGGGGTTTATAGTGCCAGTAGACTTGCGTTGCATCTACCTACACTCTCTCCTCCTCCCCCGCATGAGCCCGGTGTCAAGACAGAGTCAAGAAGACCGGAGACGAGGGAAGCCGCAGGTGGGTGGCTTGGACAGAACCTTACCTTGGCGCTCCACTCCGCACCCCCTGGTCCACACAACAAATGACCAGGATTTTGACCACGAAACGATGGGGTGATGGCAGTGGTCCAGTTGTGCGACGAGTTCCGACAACAGGGTCTGCCAGCGCACCCCGAAATGTTGGCATTTGTTACTGCGAACAGATAACGCCTGACAGGATCTGATGTGGCGCCCGTGTTGGTCCAGCGCGTCTAACACGTGGCCCGTTTGGGGGGCAAACGAAGTAGACACAATCGCATTTTCATTAACATGGGAGAATTAGTGCAGAATGGGAAGAAACCATCATGAATCCTGAAGACGATAGTCCCCTTCTAAAGGCTACCGGCCGACATACATCCAAAGAGGCTTTCGACAATTAAGAGCACAGTAATAAGGACATTCTAGTTTGTGCTGCCGTGAGAGTAAATCAAAGGATCATAAATAAGTTATGGCCCACGTTTTTCATGCCCAATTAACTAGTTAAACTGAGTCACAGATACAGTAGATGTGCTAACTCATGAAATGTCAACCAAAATTTCGAAATGCGTTCTCGTTTCGAAAAGATCAATTAAGTAGTGTTGTAAAACTAATCATGATGCAGCATGAATCTATAATGATCCAGTTACCTCAGGGTGTCGGCTTTCGAAAGAACTTATTTTCGGCCGCATACAAGGTCTATAGTCTGCAAAACATGACTACTTAAGTAGTATGCAATTTTCTCATGTATTTTCGATGCCCTTGAAAATTCAATTATATTTCATGGAAAACATGCATAAAAATATTCATTCTTTTACTTATTCGGTAGAAAATCACGTCTTCTTCCAATTCCATACTCAAAGGAAGAGTATAATTCGGTTTTAAAAAAGTTTCTAATTGTGAGATTTTTTAATATCGTTAAATGGCCGTTCATGAAACGTCATGTATCTGCATTTACGAATGTGACTTGTAAAGTTAACAATATGGCATGCATTTCTGTACGGTGTTAAGAGGAGACCATATGAGGTTCATTAAATTAAGCAGCGGATTTGAGCAATATTGTAAGTGAGGAGAGAGATTTACCTAATAAAACTGTTAGGTCTATTTTCCTATGCATGAAAATTTTTGAATACGAACTGCGGTAAGGTTAAATATAATGACGATGGCAGTTTGCAAGTAAATGAGCCGAAAACTGTGAAGCACCAGAAGGACAGACTGCAAACTTTAACGATCGTAAAAGTCTCAGGCGTTACTATCAACTCCTAATTTCACGCCAGGAGTCATTGGTTTGCTAAGTTAACATTCGTCTTCTGCATAATTAATCAATCAGTGTGAAGGCTGATCCGGGTCTACCAGAAATTTACCAAAGTTACTCTTTAAAAAACAATTTTTTGACTTTGTACACTTGCGGACATTTACTAATTCTCATTTCGAGTTATGCATCCAATAATCGTTGTTTTGTCCTATCCTAACTCCCTGGTTTTTGCATCTTTTAGGTCGACGGCCAATTAACTTTAAGCGAAAACATTGCGGACAACGGCGGTCTGAAGGCGGCATATAGGGTAAGTACGTTATTATCCTCCTCTTTGAATGCATAAAAACTGGTAAATTCGTTGAACCTTTGGCTATATGTATACCATTTAAAAAGTGACGTCTATATGGGGTGGAAGTTACAGTAGTGAAGGACTTATTTCTAAAAATCCTTTTTTGACCAAATATGCGTTCAGTAAATGTGCCTGTAACGTATTACATCAGTTATATTTACTCCACTCCCTCAACTACGAAATGTTGCGTGAGAAGTCCAACAACTTTGGGTTTTTCGATGCAAATAGACGTTCACTTATGCCTAAAGTAAGGTCTCACCTGTATTTTGGATCTGCACATCCGGTCAATGAGAACTCTGCCGTAAAAATTTAAATTATCTTTACAAATTACGCGTGGTTCTGCTTCATGTAAAATACTTTGCCTGCCATCTTAGCATTTTGATGAGTCTTGCCCAAATGAAGTGTTTGCACAATCTTATTTATTGGATATTTCACCGAAAAACTGTATGGGAGTTAAAATGCGGTGATATATATGTATGTGAAATTGTATTATCTGCATTTATCTGACTTTTGACTGTTCATATAACACAGACGTTGCCGCTTAGCATACGGCCAAATATATTTGACTTCTCATATGTAACGTAGACCAGATCGATATTTGTAACCGATTAGACTCTTGCATAATAGCACCCTGTCCATCAAGTTACGATTATGTCTTAGACTATTGCTTGTTTAAGGCGCACGATTAAATAAACCCTGCCAGTAGTACACCTACAGGGGTCAGACCCTTGTTTTTGAAGTCTGTTCGGGCGAAGCCTTGAAGAAGGAAACTCATACTCTGACTGGCTGCGCTGCACAGTAGGTACACAACTTTCTTCTACAAATTGTTTCTCCTGCCTGCCTTTTACTCGTAGTTCACCGAGTATACGGTGCTTCATCGCGTTAGTCTAATTGCCCATGTAACGAACGGCTGTCACATTAAGCCTCTGTCTGCAAAGGACTCTCTTTCACACCTCTGTGCTACACCAGGGTTTGTTTTTAAAGGAGACCTTCAGTTAGTTAGTGGTTAGACTGCGTACCTAGGATCTTCCTTAGAAAAAAAAACAGTTGCCTGGTTCTTCGTCTAGACAGGCGTAAATAAACAGGCTTCACATGGACGGAGCAGGAAATGACTGACTGCAAACAGTCAAGCCTTATAGCAAGTGGGGAGCCTTGGCGACCTATTTTATAGACCATAGTGAGGACCCCCTGCATCCGCGCATATTCGGACGCATTCGTCTACTTTGGATACAATATTTTAGAAGGAATCTGAAAAGAATGGCAGAGAAGCAAATTCTCTGTCCATAGGTATTTTGTACAAAAGTGAAGGAGAGTAAAGTGAACGATTTTTATTATCCTCATCACCTAACCATCCACATTCCGACTCCGGACAGTAAAAACGTGAGATATGATCGTTTTAGCCGTTAAGCTTCACGTTCTGGCAGTAGAGCCACGGGCTCACGCTATGTCAGACGCGATAGTGAGAAGTCGACGTCACGCAAAACTGACGTTCGCTGCAGAATACTCGTATGCAAAACTATCGCAAGAAGGTCTAGTATTAGCAGAATGTTGAAGAGAGGAAGAGCAGGGATGGAATACCAGCAGCCTGTGGAAACAGGAACGTCTTTTATTTCGCACTTTTATTTTACCTCCTGGTCGAAAACACTAGTTTAAGCATGGAGTCGGGTTTCTCCACTCACGTCTGTGATGGAGTAAATTTGACTCCAGTCGCTTCGGTGCCGCATGCACACAAACCATGTCAGGCGGCCCGTCCCACTCCAAGCAATTACAGACCATATCTCAATAATAGCAAGCATGACTTTGCAAGGTGTTTCCAACTGAAAACCCCAGTGATCTATTGGATGCTGACCACGATCAAGACTTTTTCAACGAGCGGTTACTATCGTTCCTTAAAAGTGGGTTGACGTCGGCGCAGTTGTCGCTCTTGAGTTAAACACCTTTTATGGCGAGTAGGCGCTTCACGACCACCGCTAAAAACCGTCTAACTAGAGGTCTATTAGCATTTAAAATAATGAGCCGCGATTATCATGCATAATTCTTTGCCTATGAGCGCATGCACTGCCCAAATGCCATACATTTCCTATTTTAAGTTTCTTGCCTTAACGCCTTTCTCCCCATGCTTAGGCATTTAAAAGGCTCCAAAGCTTGCAGGAGACCCCGAGACAACTGCCAGGCCTAAACCTCACAATGGATCAGTTATTTTTCATCTCCTTTGCCCAGGTTAGACTTATTAGATTATGTCTGTCTCACACTCTATCTTCAATGCGTTATTATCGTCCCTTTGAAGGGACACAGAGTGCATTCGTCTACGTAAGAATTGGCCGTCTGTTGCAATGCTAGGGAAGAATGTGGAAGGCGTTGTCATAAGCGGCCATGTGTTTGCATGGTGTTAGTTTATGTGCACATTTCTTTTGTTGGTAGGCACAACCTTTCAAATTTCGGAACCATTCCAGCTTGAAAGGTTCAAGCAGAGAGTGCGGGCCATAGCCTATCTTATTGAGCCGTGACGCACCGATCAGCGTTTGCCGTGATGGCTTAATGGAGGGGTAGTTACCCTTAGTTTCCGAATTTTACGGCCGACGTCTCCATTCACCTTTCCAACACTCAATTCTTGACAGATTGTGTGAAAATTCCCCCCCCCCTTTCCGACCATCTTTAGAGGTTATGACGTGCCCATTCACATAACAAGTCAGCTGAAAGGCTTAGACAGGACATTGGCGCATGGGCGAGAGACAATAAGACCACTATAGAGGAATCACTTCTCAAGGCAAATCACAATGAGTCTGACACGCATTTTTATGCGTCAAACGTCGCGGGTTTTAATGCTGACAGTTGACGTAAGGCCACAGTGTTCTCTCCCAAATGTGGCCTTTATAGCACTTCTCACTTTTGAGCGAACCAAACCCATGTGTGGCGCCTGGTAGAAGGTGAATTTCAGACACGCAAATCACTGTCTTCAATCGCATCCTCAGTCAGCTTGACCTGTATATGTCACCATTGTATGCGAGAGGAAAGAGAGAAAAAGTGAATTGGGCTCAGTTAGTGTGTGAAATGCTTAGACTGATTGCTCAGCTCTGTCAGTCATTGAGTCAACGCTCACATCCGGACATTTTGCTTTTGTCACGCCATCTAAACGCGGTTAATGTGGGAGGATGGAGCTTGGTATATGCACAGCGCTTCGTTTTGCTATAACCAAATGTATGCCCAAGTCCCGGCTTCATCCACTTCGTGGGCCGATGGCGAACCTCGTCCTTTGCGATGGTTGAATTATAGTGTGTGCCTTGATGCGGCTTTGCTTGGCGAATCGCGTGGACCATTTGATGTCAGCAGGTGCGGGTATCTTGCATAATGTGTGTCGGGAAGTCTAAAGTCCCTCCAACCAACTCAAAACGAGGTGCAGAGTTAGAATACTTAGAGGGCGACAGGAACGCCTGACCATGCATTCCAAAATAGGGGCTATTTCTCTCCGGTCCATGTCGGTAGTATCGCCTCTCCCAGCCGAGGTGTCATCCACATACGACTGTGTTTGCTGACTTGTCATCCTCAAAGTAGGCCGGTTTAACATTGCCAACACTGACAATGTCAGCTTTGCCATTCCTCTGGGTGATGAGGCCTCGTCATGTTGGCGAAAACACTTGCACAGCTTGTCACAAGAAGACATAGCCAACGACGAACGGCGTCGGGGCGGGCCAACACGTACTTGGATGTGTCCAAGTAGGAGTGAGGATGAAGGAGTTGAGCGTTCTTCCCCTTGGAGGCGCTCTGTGGATTTTTCACATGGAACGGATAAGTTGATATATGTTAATGGATCAAGTAAAATGGCTTGCAAGTCTGCGGGATCAACTACCTGACGGGTGAGGTGTGGGGCGATGTCGTAAGCAAGCTTGGCTGCAGTGCAACTGATGTCGGCTTCGCCGATGGAGGGGAAGGAAGCAGAATGAATGATGGGTTATCAGATCACCAGCTACGATCAGACAAAACCTCCAGGGCCGTGCTAGCTCTCAGTGTCAATGACAAAGTGCGGCATGTCATATTGCGTATGTGGGTAACCACAAAACAAGAAACGGTGGGGTGGAACATGACAGATCCCAACTGAGAGATATAGTTGTCTGTCACAGTGGTATACACTTAACTCGTGACACCTAGTTTAGCAGAAAGGTTTAGGCGAAAATTCTCTGAGATGAAAAGGCAAAATATGTTTGTCTAAATCGCCCACCTGAATCCTTAATCGTTGGAAATGAGGGGACAGGATCAGGTACAGAGCTGTGCATCCTAGTTGATGTTAGACTGGACAAATAGGTCAGTGATAAGTCCTACTGTCGCCTACACTATAAGGTAGGGTTTAGCTGTAGAAGTCCTCGAGCACCTGACATTGCATAGACATAGGAAGAAACGGACATTATTTTAGTGTGGGCGTCATGAGAAAACTGAGAATCTCATTGGCGAAAGAGGCGAAGAATCTTCTAACTATACTATTGAAGATTCCCGTCGGTTTTGGGGTGTAGCTCTTGTCGCGGCTCCAGCTGACGTGAAGGCATACGATTCGGACGGAGTAAAGCATCCGCAACCGTGTTTTGTCTATTGTCGACAGGCTGGATATGGCGGAGTTATTAGATAGTTGGGCTCAAACGCCGAATCTCATGTGAAAAGTTACGATCAGGAGTTGACTTAAGGTCGGGAACTAGTGGTTATTGATCGATTTTACTGTTCAAACGTTGTCAGACTGCCAGTTTATGCTGAGTTCAAGCACGTGGTCAAGCGTTGCCATGGCCATTTTCCGTCGGTTCGGAGCAGCGCGAGGTGTTCGATGTAACTTCTGTACCAATACGGTTAATGCGACAAATGACGGTGTGTTGACGTCCCATCTGGTGAAATTGCCTAAAAGGTGCAATGCATGAACAGTCCAGTAGGTGACCCAAGGCGATGGGGTTTAGCTAAATTTTGACTTTAATATGGCATTAGACGCAAAGATTGGCGAGACTGCCAATAGACCGGGAATCTTTCAGGCCGACAAGGTGTTCGAAACAAAGAAATGGATCGGCACTTAACACAGCGACACAGACATTGCCACGCCCGATAGATATGGGGGTATCTTGGTCGGTCTATTGGACGCGGCAGGGGACAGCACAGGTCAAGAGACGCCGGAAATGGAACGCCAGCCGCCTGAGCATCGGCAGAAGTTGCGGACTGATGCAATGTTTCACTTCTCAGACAGAGGTGACTGTTTTGTTTGTAACTGCCGGTCGTTAGATGGTTATGCTAGTCTAGGCATAAGAACCGACGAGGAACTTCATACCATAGAGGTAGTGCGATCCTAACGTTGGTCGCCTCATCCCCGGTCAGTTCATCTGCCGAGAGTTTGAGTAGGTACTTAAAAGACGCCTACTGGAAAAAACGCCTCCGCGTGGCGGTTTCGATTTGCCGGCAAATGCCTTTGATAAATGCTGTCTTCAGGCGAAAGAAGATGAAGAAACGCGAATGAATTGGAGCTTTACATCGGCAGCACGCACTGCACTTATCAACGTTTTCCTACACTTACGCGGACTAATCCTTACCGTACTGTTGTGTATTCATAGGATCATCAAAGGTCAGTTGTACTTGGTGTGATCAGACTGGCGGTTAGGCCACTTTCGTCTATCAGTGTAAGGCAAGGACCAACGATATGCGGCGTTAGAAGCAAAAGTAGATTTTTAAGCGCTCAAATAAATCCAATTGAGTAGAATAATAAGCAGCATGGAGCGGCAACAGAGAAGAAATTTGTTATGTGCGGACTGGGCAAGTTGCAGTCATCGGATGGAGTGTAGGAGCTGGGCGGAGATCCCGTGGAGGTGTGTGTGTGTGCAAGCGTCGAATCAGTGTCCGCATATTGTATGTTCATCCCACCCACACAATATGTCCAGTCGCCTTGATCTTGTCTTGCCACCAAATCGTGCTGAGTTTGGCAAGAGTGGAGGCAGATGCAGCTCAAGTAGGCTCCATTTTAAGCAAATTCACGCGCAAGTCAGCACTGTGCTCAATCCGAGCTTGCGGTCCGCTAGCCTCTTTTGACGGTCGGCCTGTCGTGTGTGCGTGCTCGCGCATGCTTAAGAGTTTTGGACAAAAGTTTACTTCTAAACTTATTAGGAGTTTGGCCGATCATTATGTGTGTGTGTGTGTCTCTTCACAGCACAAGCATTACGCACTGCCGGTCCTAATAGCTGCAACCGCCATGCCTAGTGCTACACGAAAACGAACTGAGGTCAGCCAGCGTGTGGACGTTTACACGTCAGCTTGTAGGACGATTCAAAAGGGCCTGCAAAGTTGTCAACTTCAGTGTACGCCGCGCCGGTTGTAGTGCCGCCCCTGGTAGGTCTTAAGCCCACCGCGCCTGTCCTATGTCGGTTTTCTTGTAAGTACTTGCGTAAGATCTGCTAAGCTTCAGGGTGATCAGTGAGGCAGTTAGTTGTTGGGGGATATGAAATTCACAGGCGTGGTTTAAGTCACTCGATCTTCATACTCTCTGTCTTAGGTGTCCGCTACTCTGAATTCAATAGTTTGGTCAGTCTTGCTCATGTTGCGGTGTGAGGCAGCGTTTTCTGCGACCACTGGGGTGGGACAGGGTAGTGTACCCATTCCCACATTCGACAGCCTTATGTTCTCCGTTATGTTAATGGACGCCTATCGTAAGGAGCAGCAGGAAATCAACAAATGTTGCCGGATCGGAGGACAACTGGTGTGCAAGAATATCCAGGTCCATCATCTACGACCTCCTTTTCACGGAGGTACAATTCCGGAGAATGTTAGGGTCGACGATGAGATAGCCCACCGGATCTGCACAGCCAATCAGGCCTTTAGTCAGCTAAAGGACTCAGTTTGGAATCGCCGAGGATTCTAACTTAACAAGAAACTAAGGATCTACCGAGTCGTGATCCTGACAACGCTGTTGTATTGGCAGAAACCTGAACAGTGTGCGAAAACCAAGCGAGGAAGCCCAACCGCCTTCACCCTATTTGTCTCCTGATCTTATTAAATTTGAGGCGACAAGACAGGCACAAAAGTCTTAAGAACATTTTTTCGCCCAGTTATGCACCGCGTGCTCTGGTTGAGTTGCTTCTCAGTCATCTTCCAATAACGTTCCGTGAATAAAACCAACAGGGAAAACCGAATTAGGAAACATATACCAGAAATAAAATGTCCATTGTCCACAGAAATCTCCAAACCAGCAAAAAAAACGCGGTATATGTTTAGATATGCCTGCATACACAATCCACGATAGTGTGAAGCCGCTAAGGTCGACGCGCGATGTAGCGAGGGATAAGTGCATAGACGTTTTTGCCAATTAAAACCCGATAATTAGTGATGGTAGATCAGCAGCGGGTGAGTACCCAAGAGATGGTAAAATTACTGAGGCAAACAGCGACGGCAAAAGATTTATAAAGCCTTAAAATAACTGAAGAAAGCCCACTTCAGTCTCATGGCGCGGTATTTAGTCACCCATACTACTGACCAGCGGTTAGAAATAAAAACGCGCCGTCTACCTCAATGACACACAGGATTGATCTGACTCTCAGGCTTGATAGGCGGTTATTTAATCGTGATTTCTGTCGGCAGTCGTCGATATTTCTTTATTTTGAAAGACCAGCCAGACCGGTTTAGGACTCTTCGTCATGCAACTGGCATACCCGCTTTCCCATAGGAAATAAACAGCGTGCTGATATAGCTTCGTTCCCACAGTGCTACTGCCCACAAGCTAAGCCTCTTCCGCAGGTTAGCCTCAGGTGCCTCCAGTGTGCTTGCTACCTCAGCTGTGGGTGTGAAATGTCCTGCAATCAGAATGGGAAATGGGCCGGCAGGTGACTGGATGAACAGTTGGTTTTAAAGTGCTTGCTTGCCGGCAAATTCGGGTTTGCGTTTCAAGTTTGCACCCGAACTTGGAACACGGAAGACTGTCGACGATGAACAACCCGAAGATTACTCTTCTGGTCTTTTCTTATCCGGTCCTTTTTGTGTAGACATCACCTCCAATTTTCACTGAATGTTTTGATAAGTTTGAAGTCACTTTTGTCTTACTGTACATTGCGATTTTCAGTCTGCTTCCGAAACACACACACTTATATCAGTTCCCTAATGTCCGATTTTTAGGTTTGGTGCAAACGTCAACTCCCACAGGCTGCTTTACATACGGTCATGTTCGATGTCCATTCACCCGAACGATACAGGTGCAGTCAGTCTCTGAATGTTGCCTTACCTTCAAACAACTATTATGACATGCTTCCAGGTATAGGCATGAGTCGTACGAGCTTGAAGAGCTCACGTTTACAAACCTACCTAATTCCGTCAGGCAGGTGTTTGGCTGCCCCGTCTAACCCCTTAGGTTCTTTGTCTAATATCTCTGTCGTTTTTTTCTAAATCGAACTCTCAGCTGTTCTATTATCATTTTTTAATCCGACGCGTACTCTTATACAAATGTCAAATGTTTGGACGAATCAACTGACTTCTGAAGCTCGCCGGTGAGGAATTTTTGGCCCTTAAAACATGAACTCTTCGTACTGGTAGAGTAAGAATGGGAAGTAACCTACGTCGGAGACTTATCCTGACCGGATACTTTGGTTTAATGCTTATGACGTTGTCCATCAATGCAAGCCTCCCTGTATGAAAAGAAGAATACGCTGTATGCTCATTGCTTGCAAAACCGATATCTGCAGCTCTAACTCACCATATAATCTCAAGTGTCAGCATACTCTCTGTTGGGCAGGAGGCATTTCAAGCAAAGTCATACGACAAGTCTTTAACCGGTCATACTTTCTGTTCGTTTTTGCAGTTTCCAAAACGTCACTTTGTTAGTAATAGGGTTGAGCTAACTCCGAGTGAGTTGGGCGACTGACTTGACCCAAATACGACTGAACTCACCGGACTCAGTAGCTCGGGTGGTTTGAGCGTTGGCTGTACTCATGCTCTGTCCTTCTTGCCGTAGATTCTAACCCTACCGAGACCGCTGAATTTTTCAGAAATGGGTCAAATGAGGAAATGTTGAAGAAAAAATCTAATATTTTGGCGGGCATTTGCATCTTGTCATTTTAATAAGCATGTTTACCGCTTTCAAAGCTTACTCCTTTTGTATGTACACATGGTGTTAACTGGTAAATCATTGTTTACCTAAATGCCAACGATTAGTATGCCGTCAAACTTTCTTTCTTTCCTGTTTTTTTTTCGTCACGTACTTATTCACCATATGCACGCCATAAATGTTGTTATCCTTTCAGAGTTATTGGGACACTGTCAAATTCGGAGGATTTTGCGTCAACTTTTATGTGTCCCAGAGGATCCTACATGAACCCTGAGCATAAGTGCGTTTTGTGGTGACGTGACCTCATTTTGTGTACATAAATGTATCCTCAATGCCTATGAAGGCCAGCTCACTGGCAAGGCAGATATCGGTATTCCAGGTACAAAAACGATCCACACTGCAACGCACAGAAAATTTCACCCTGCTCTTTTCGTGTAAACATCCTTTGGTTTTATTAATAACAAAGTTAACAGCGTAAGCCAGTATGATTTGTCCCCCCTTTTCCGATCTTCCTCCCCGTGTTCTCTGACTGTGGGCGCTTTTCACGATAAAATATCCGATGATACGAATATCCATGCTGCACTGCTGTAATGACGGGAATGTGTCCGAAGGCCCTTCAAAATGTCTTATCGAAGGACCTCTGTCCGCGTCCTCATCACCCTCACCCAATCCTCGAAAAATATTCCGTCGTGTTTGTTTACCATCTATCACTGCGTCTGTGTCCGCGATTACCCGTGGTTATACGAGGGGAAAGAAACAACTATAAGGATTATCCGGACCATTTGCGAACAAGGACATGCGTATATGCGTGATCGGAACTATTTTTGTTTATCCTCTCATCGCTGTGACCCGTACTGTTTGCTTCCGTGTACACCCTTGTGAAAATCACATCTTCCCTGACCTCACCCCTCTCAGTCTCTTTTTGTGTCTGTATTTCCCAACCAACGCCCTTCCGCCAAGATAGTTTTTTTTTGTCTGGATTGTCCTCCCCAATGATTTTGATCTGTTTATCTGTTTAACAAGTAAATCCTACAAACGCCGTCTGTAGGCTAACCAGGATCCACATTTTGGAAAATTGCTATTGGCTAGTCATTGAAGTGACGAGAATTTGCGATAAGGCAAGTGAGCTTCACGAGCATGCGACACTGTGTGCGCGGGTGAATATTGACGAGTGTGCTGAAGTAATAGACTGCGGACACATAGTGACAGAAGTCCAAGCAGGAGATGCAGACACCAGCCGTGAGGTGGGTCAAGAGTTCGTACAATAAGGCAAGGAATGCAGCACCAAACTTGGCATAAAAGACCGATTAAAGATGAATACATGCTCAATTGGGCCGGTTGTGATGATTGCAAAAGTCATAGTTGCTTTGAGTTAGGAAAAACTTTAGACATTGGGAAATAAAATCGTCTGTACATAAACAAACAAAAATTCCTAGACTCTCTCCTACCGAATAAAATGTAAGATCGCAGTCGAAGTTTTGTTCTTTTCGTAGACTTACGTGTCAAAAAATCGCGTATCTCTCTTCCCTTCGCAAAATGAGTGTGACTTTTTGGTAGAAAAGTGCCCATCGCTTTTGGAACTGGTCAACCTGGTGAGTTTTCTCCCTTCACCGGATGTCTAAAGAACAACAGCCTCAAAGGCATTGCGCAGTACTTGATTCGCAATTGTTATTATAGCTAGTATTTCGCTCATATCAGTATGCCTAGCCATGCGACTCCCTAGTATATAGCTTTTTCAGTTAATGACCCTGATGATAACAGGAGAAGCTGCTCAGAGAGGTCATTCGTCATTAGACCATTTCAAGTTGCATTATTTTTCATTTTTCGAATTCATACAAAACAGAGTTGTACTGGCGGATTGAAATAGAGGGCTTTGGGATCTAGTGAGATCAGCAGGGCCAAAGTTTGTAAAAATTCGGGAAAGAAGGACAAAAATTCAAAGTTACAGACCATGTAGACCGTGGATGATGGACGAAAAACCTGTGGGACATTTTTTGCGTCGGAGAAATTGGCTCATCTACCTGTCACGCCTGCTGTCGTAAATAATTTTAGTAACAAAACACCTGCTTTGTCCCATAAAATGTTAGATCAGCACCGAAATGGTCCTCTGCCGAGTCAGTGAACCAAATTATAGATAGTCCTTAATCGTACAGTCCCTGCTTAGTGAACGAGATTGAGAGTTGATGTTTCGAACCGGTACAACAAGGAGGAATTTTGGAGACTCCAAAGTCCCGTATAACAAAAAACTGACACCGAGAAGCGCAACAACGCCTCTGTCAACACAATTTAAAGTTAAACTGAGTTCACTGTGGGCGCAACATTCAGTGCACTCGCTTGTCGAAGGTCATCTGACTCGTATATCATCTTAGGACTGTCCGCTATTGTTTTTTAAAAAAACACTTCCTCGATGCTACTATAAGCCGGACAACATCCAGCCTTATTCTCTTCTGCTCCCATCCAGCAATTGGAACACCCATAAAGCATCCGAATGCATGTTCCGGTAGCAATGAAAAATTTTGACAACACAAAGACTCGCGAGGCACTTCCTCCTGACATATCATTACTTTCGGTGCCTACAAAATAGTTAAAATTACACCACTGGTGACACTGCCCTCCGATTTAATCACAAAATTTTCTCTATAGGGTACTGAAAACGTGACCTCTGACACATATGAGCTGATGTTTCGTGCTCGATACGTCAACGTCAGCTGCATAGTTGTCTGAATTGAACGTGATAAGAAGCCGAAGTAAACTTGGAACATAGCGAAGGCGGCTGAGAGAAACCAAATCTCAAAATCATACGTCTCCATGTATTGCACTTAAAGCGAAAATTTCAAATAGCATCATTAAAAAGTATTCGAAGGCGGCAATTGTTGAATTTCCAAAGTAATTTCTCTCTCTTTTCGTAAGGAACACACTTCCATCGGCACTCCACCTTAACGTGAAGACATCGTAGCATGAAGCAGAGTGGGAATATGGGCAACTATATCTCCGTGGTCTTTTCCGAGTATGGTACACATCCCGGCGATTTTGCAGGCAGCATTAGTGTAGAAGGGATGCCATGTCGCACTTTCATAAAGCCGTGAGCGTCTAACCAATGAAAAACTCCGTTCTCGATAGTTGCGTACTCATTGTCTGCTGCCGTCTTGTTGGGTATCTCACCCAGAAAGCCTCTTCAATCGGTTCTACCAGTATGGAAAACCATGAAACCTGTGTTTACTACTGGTTGCGTGTTGACAGTTCATGAATATTACGCGTCCATCTCGCTGAGGCTGATAGAATTCGACTCAACTACTTCTAATAGTTTACGGGCTGAGCCTATGAAGTTTCAGTTGAAAGGGTCTACCCCTAGCTAACACATTAATGTCTCAGGAGATTTAAAAAACTGGATCTTCAAGCCTATAATAACTACCAAAAAGCACACGGGGAACACTGGAAGACTCATTGATGAGTTAAACTCCCTACAGCTGTGTTAGGCAGCTGCCGAATACCGGTGGAACATACAGTGAGTGACCGATCTCGCGAAATGTTGGCTGAAATTCTGAAATGCGTTTTCGATTAGGAAGGATTACTTGGGTGCGGTTGTAATACTTATTATCTTGCGGCATAATCTTATAACATTTCGGACTCGGCAGGATATCAGCTTTTGAATACACTGCCTTTCAATCTCCTGTAGAAACCGTACTCGGTAAAAAATGTCTGCTTAAGTAGCATGCATTTTTCCCATTGATTATCCATGGTCTTGCAAATTCAAATATATCTTATAGAAACCATAAACAAAATATGCTTTCTTTCAGTCACTTAATAGAGAATCACGTCTTCTTCATATTTTATACTCAAGGAAGGAATATAATTGTCCATTCACATAGCATCGTACCTGGCCGTGTACCACAGCCCCTCATGAAATGTGCAACATATTCCGCATCCATTGCAACATTTCATGAACTCTGTATGACATCTTTTTAATGGCATAGAAAAATATGTGATTTTCTTTGCGCGGAACGCATGCACCTTGTAGACTGAAATCACTAAGCGCTAATGCAACGAATGATCAGGCTCAAAATTATTCGGCAATTAGAAAACTTTCAAAACCCAATTATACTCCTTTCTTGAGTATAAAATATAAAGAAGACGTTATTCTCTATTAATTGACTGAAAGAAAGTATTTTTTTGTTTATGGTTTCTATAAGATATATTTGAATTTGCAAGACCATCGAAAATCAGTGGGAAAAATGCGTGCTACTTAAGCAGTCATTTTTTACCGAGTACGGTTTCTACAGGAGATTGAAAAGCAGTGTATTCAAAAGCTGATATCCTGCCGAGTCCGAAATGTTATAAGATTATGCCGCAAGATAATAAGTATTACAACCGCGCCCAAGTAATCCTTCCTAATCGAAAACGCATTTCAGAATTTCAGCCAACATTTCGCGAGATCGGTCACTCACTGTATGTCATGGCTTTTAGCTAATACCTGTACCATCAGTATTGGGTAAATCATGCAACAGTCTGTTCGTTTTCCACGAATACGTGAGCCCCAGGCTCTTGTTGTAAAGAAGACTAACAGTTATATTAGTCTGGACTTTCGGGCGTATGCCGGAGTCCATTCCCAGGGGCAATGAAAGTCCATTAACAACTGGACACTTTTGTAGTCTGTCGGCG